ATCACCATAAACTAAGAGTCTCCAAATATTTTTTTCCAAAATTTTTATAAAAATACCTCACACTTGACCCTAGCGGCGTTTTATTTTATTTCTCCATTCTCGGGATGAAAAAGTACTTGAAATAATTTGTGAGGGAAAAAGGCGTCTGGTCAGTTATTTAGCGGTGTTTATAAGGGGAAATAAAAGAAAAAAGTTTTGAGGACTACAGAATTTAATATATTATATAAAAGTCCGTCAATCCGGACATTGAGAAGAAAATAAAAAGTGAAAAGAGAGGCGCCAAAGTTGCGTAAAATGACGCGCAACCTAAAAAACAAATAGGGGTGTTTATGTGCTCCAAGGAATGGAAGGCCGCCAGAAGAAGATGAAAGGAAAAGGTAAAATACAGTGACAAACTTGATCAAATATTTGAAGGTTCGTAAAATTTTATTGGAGGAAAAATGTTCTTCTACATAGTCTGATTTTGACAAGCTTGTTATTTTGCCTAGAGCAATGTTTAGTTTAATAAAGCTATGCCGACGTTGTTTTTTAAATTTTTATTTTTTCTAGACAGGGAATGAAATAAACATGATTTTTAATAGAATAAATTTCAATTATATTTTTTTACCTATTTCCTAATTTATTTACTGTATATTTTATATTTGGATGTTTAATCTATGACATAATTCTGATCCCTCAGGTGACTGCCCCTTCATATGAAAATAACTTACGCATCTTCCTAGTAATCACTCTTTCAGCCAGGAGGTGAAATGGGTGATACCCCCTCCCCTCCTTATTAATTACCCCTCTTATAACCCACCCTCCATCCAATTAACCAATCTTCTTCTTCCCTTCCATCAAGAAGATTATACTAATTGCCAGTGTAATTATTTAAAAATACGGTTTCTTTTAAGTCTATTTTACACGTAGTGTAACTCAGATTTCTCAGATTTACTTAGTTATAATTTTAGAATTATAATTTCAGAATAATTTCAAAACTATATACCTATTAATTTTCTAAGAATATTCTGATCTAAAGTTTACTTCACATCTACAAATTCTTTTGTTTTGTTCTAGATATTTTACCCTTTTTACAACCTTATTTTGAAACAAAAAAAGTTTGGTAATAAATAAAAAAATACTTTAAAATACCCAAAAATGTTTATTACTACACTAAAAACACAACTAATCCTATTTTAAATTTGCTGAGAAAATTAAACAAAAAATAGGTTTATTTATAGTTTCTTTTCCGGATATGCCCATATATTTACTTGCTCCTCATCTTTTGTTTAAATATTGCGCAGAGGAAATGAAATTCATTCTCGAATGCCTCATTTATCTTTTTTATTAAACATATTGGAACTAATATTTAATTGAAAAAATATTTTAAAATATGTAGGTCTGTTGTAGGGTGTGCTGAAACAAATCTTAAAAATCGAATGGCGAAGGCACCAAAGAAAGACAAAAATTCGGTGAAAGACGGAAGCTGAAAAGGCGAAGGGCAAAATCACTAGTCTGTTGACTGTAGAATTTACAGAAAAATTTTTAATTAATTAAAAATAGCTTAATACTACATATACTTAATAAATCCAATTCTCAATTTAAGTATAACAATAACCAACTTAATCAATAAAGAATTCTTTTGTCTCAAGTCTTGACTTCTCAATACTTACTCCTTTTTTATTCTTTTTTAAAACTACTTTCTCGAGTGCAATTTATTTGTGTATTTATTTTATCCATTTTTGGACAAAGAAAAAATAAATTTGTGATCCAATTGTGGATAACTTGGAATAAACAAAGAGAACATCAATGCAATTAATAGTGGAAAAAATAAGGAAACAAGAAAATATTAAATGTCTTTTAAAAATATTTAAATGTCGGATACTAAGGATTTCGACTCAAAAAACAGCGGGAATCCTCCAAGATGGCATTTGGAGGATTAACATGGATATACTGGGAAGTTTGGGTGTTCAAAGAGGGATATCGGGGGAATAAGAGGGATACTGGTGGATTAAGAGGGATATAAGGGGAATAAGAGGGATATCGAGGGAATAAGAGGTATATCGGGAGATTAAGAGGAATATAGGGGGAATGAGAGGATATCGAGGGATTAAGAGGCATATCGAGAGTATGAGGGAATTCTTATTGGGCCGGCTAGATCCCTAATGTGTACTGTAATTTAAAAATATTAAAAAACATATTTTCTATACTCGAATGGCACTAGCTATTTATAATTTTACTTATTAAATATTTTTTATCAAAGTACAATGTCGTAAACAACAGCTAAAGTAAACAAAAATAATTTTTAATGTAAAAAAATATTTTTTATTTATTTACTATTTTTTCTCCCTCGATTGTTGTCGAGAATTTTTTTATAAAAATAATAAATTTTGTTAAATTCCTAGTTAAACTATTGATTTTTAAATTTCATTCAATTCCTCATAATCAAATGAAAAAAATAAAAAAAAGTGTTCAGGAGACACAAGTCATAACACATTAAAAAAGCATGTGAGTTGAAAGGAATGCTAAATGGATTTTAAATTTAATTTTGAAGAAGAGGAGCGCCATAAGGGCTTTTTAAGCTTTTTACTCATTTCTCCCTCATTTTCACTCATTTTGGCGCTCAGAAGAATCCCGGTTGGCTTTAAAAAAAGACGTATTGCTGCCAGATAATAAAAGAGAGAGAGACCATCTCCTTTGGGATTAGAAGGCTTTTTCTCTCATTTATTTTTTCATTCCAGTTGTACTTTGGGCGAAAATGAATGGCTGCCTTTCCGGCTTTCTCTCCGGAATTATTTTAATTTTTGACAAATTTAATTATTTTAATTATTAAATGCACATGTAAATAGTCATATTTTTAATCACAAATTTTATCAAATTATCAGAATTATTATCTTTTTTTATTGTAAATTTAGTTCTCTATTGAATTTACCAATAGGATTATTAACTAAAAATAGTATTTGTTAATCCTTTAGTTAATGGCCAATTTGGGACTCTAATGGCCCGACTGGTTACAAGAATAGTTACCGAATGGTTACGAAATCTACCTAACTGGCTCCAAATTTTAAATTTTAATCTTTGCGATTACCGTATTTCTTCAAATACAGCCCCATGGGGCTATATTTTTCAACTATCCTCCAAGGTGGGGCTGTACTTGGGGGTGGGGCTGTAATAGAGGGTAAGGCTCTATTTGAAGAAATACGGTATATATTAACTAAAAATATGTATTATTTATTGGTCCCTTCCGTTCATCGCATAACAAGTTAGGACTCTAATGACCCGTCTGGCTCCAAAATTTCAATTATTTTTAAATTTCTTATTAATCCTTTTAAATTTTATTTTTCTGAAATTAATTAAAAAATAAAAATTTTTCTAATTAAATTTTATTTGTTCTCAAAAATTCATTAAAATCATTTACACACCACACATTCTCCTTCCAGTCGAATACCTCAAAATAAATAGAAAATAAATAGTAAAAAAATTAATTCTGGCAAAAAACCAGTTTTTTCACTTTTTTTTTATTTTCTTATTAAAAAAAGGAAAGGTTAACTTGACACAAAATTGTGGGCAAAACAATTGCCTATGATTCACTCATTCAATCATTTTATCAATTTTTTGAGAGGTTTTAAGATGCCTTTTTGTGGCTGTAAAAATGTTATTTTTCTCTTTTTTTTTAAATTTTCTACATTAATTTCATTAAAAAAGGGAAATGAATGATTTACTATTGTGGTATTTTTAAATTTATTTTTTAAGAGGGAAGGGAGAGATTGAGGAAGGAAGGGAGAGAGGAGGAACATGAACAATAGGGAACAGTTGAATCATTGTTCAATTTAGTCTCCTCTTTTAAATATCTCTTAAGGGGGAGGGGGAGGGGATATTTTGAAATTCCCTTTTTTAAAATATTCTTGAGAATTGGATTCACTATAAAATAAAAATAAAATTTTAAAAATCAAAGAAAATTTTTTTTACCCAAAAAACTAATACACAAAATGTTACTTTTTCCTAAGGCTATTTTGACAATAACTTTTTTTTATATTTTAATTTTTTCTATGAATCTATAGCAAATTTAATTCCCTATTGTAAGGGAGAGAAAGATCACCCCCGCTCACTAGGCGGTGGTTTAAGATCTATTAAAAGAGAAGGTTAAAACAACGTCCCGGTAGCTGTAGAGCACCTGTACGTGGCGAGCGAAAGCGCCTAGCAATACCTGCCAGGAGGTCGCAGGATCGAGGCCTGCCCGGGGTCGAAGCCCCACTCAAGAACACCATCAGCTTGATTCACTCATTTATTGTTCATTCATAATTTTGAGCCTCTAATAACCCCTAAATTTGATCGTTGTTTAGGATAATCAACTGAGTGAATTGAACACTTTAAAATAAGACATTCCACACAATACACGCCTTTTTTCACTTGTCTATTGATAAATTTGAAAATAAAATTTTTATAATAAAAATTGTTCAAATTTCTCTCATTCATCTCGAGAGCCCTGTTATTTGCGCACAATAAATCATTTTATTTATTTAATTTTATCCAATTTTAAACTAAATAATTGGCTCATTTTAATACTCTTTTTTATTACTTTTTTAAAAAAATTTAAAAAAATTAAATTTTAAAGGAATTTTTTGAAAATTAAAAAATGCACTTATACTTATTCAGCACATTTTTGATTGCCTGTTTAGTCTCCTCAGCCTATTCTCATTCAGTTACACATCAGGTGGATTTTGGAAAAAAATGAGAATGTTTAAAAGATTAGAAATCAGAATTCCAATAAATCAGAATTCTAAGAAAATCAGAATTCCAATAAATCAGAATTCTAAGAAAATCAGAATTCCAATAAATCAGAATTCTAAGAAAATCAGAATTCCAAGAAATCAGAAAGGAAATCAGAATTTTTAAAAAATAGTACCTAACATCAGTTCAAGCCAAGAGTCAAAAAAAATTAGGAAAGATTTGACTTAGCATAGAATTAAAAATCAGATCAGAAACTAAACCTTAACAGACATTGGGATATTAAATATTAATACTATCTAAATTTAAGATTCTTGTAATTAAAAAAAGTTCTGGTTTATTCCTTATCGTAAAATCACTAATAGAATACATGACCCTTACATTATGTTTGAATTACCTTCCAAAAGGACTGGAGGGTGATTGAATTATTCGAGAGGATCATTCTATTAGAGAGGAGGCATTTAAATGGAGGGGTGGGCTTGGAGGTAATACATAGAGGCTATTAGTGGAGGGTAAATTTAATGGGAGGAAAATGCGGGGAAACTAATGGAGGGGAAAATTAAATGGAGGGTAATTGAGGCTATTAGAGATCTTACTTCATCATAATTTACAGGAAGTCGATGCTGTACACCTTGAGAATGTTGACGGTGAAGGGAAAAGCTTAGAGCGACTACTAACTCGAAATAAAAGGAGTAATGGTCGTTGGACTGCACAACAAGTTGGAAAACATTTCCAATTTTACCATTAAAATTCCACCCATTTTTTAGGTTATTGAATGCATTTTTGCTATATTCCTTCCACCCGTTGCAATTATTATTCACGGAGGACGTGAATGGGTTTTACATTTTATCATAAATATTGTTTTGACTATTATTGGATGGATTCCTGGAGTTATACACGCACTTTGGTATTGCTTCTTTAGCTGAACAGGAAGAGAAAATATGTACATATTGCCCAATAAAAAGCTCATAAATTAAATATTTTAGTCGGTTATACTAGAGTAGCTCGAGGTCGAGGTGCTTAAAGGTCGAGGCTTTAGAAGTCTGGAGTCTCTCGAATCTGGGTCTCAGGTCAAAATCTGAGCTTCGTTCTCGATCTCGGCTTTGCCTGTCTCATTGTCTTAGTCTTGGGGTTTTCAAAAATAATCTCAACCTCGAACTACTCATGGTTTTACTATTAAATTTATATTATCCTACCTACATAATTATAATTTTTGTATTTTTCATTAGAAAATTTATATCATTATTATCAGTAGAATAAATTTTTAAAAAATTTTTAATTTCAATACATTCATTATTAAAATATTTAAAATTGTAATCCTATACATATATTTCCATCTCAATAAAATTTTTTAATAAAAATTATAGCAGTTTAAAAGCTTCAGTTGATGGAATGCCGGTGGGACAGAAAACAGGTCAAAAAATAGGTTATAATTTTATCAAAGTTTAAACCCCTAAACTTTTCCAATTTAAGCTCATTGAATTGCTTATTGCCCTTTGCATTCCTCCAGCCGCTATTTGGTATCATGGAGGGAATGGATGGATTTTGCATTTTATTGTAAACATTGTATTAACATTTGTAGGGATTATTCCAAGAATAATTCATGCCTTGTGGTACTGCTTTTGGAGGACTACCAATTAAAAATTTTTTATTTGATTCTATACTTTTCTAGAATAAAATTTTTAGGCGCTGGTCTAGTCAATGAACCTTTGCGACTCATAAACTTTTCATCTGGCTCATAAAGGCTCACTGGACTCACTCATTCACCTTTATGAGTCCAATGAAAATGTATGAGTCATTAAAGGTTCATTGTCGCATGATCTAGACCAGCGCCATTTTTATGTACAATTTTAATTCTTGTATATTAATTATAAGTTATAACCTTATTTTACTATTTATTATTTTTTCTCACAAAATTTCAAAATTAATTCATTTCCAGATTAATTTTATTTCTATTCCACTTTATCTCACAACAAAAATTTCCTCATGGGTGGCGGACAAATTACCTTACAACAGGTAGAAAGTCTTAAAAATTAATTTTTGATCTCAAACCCTCAAATACATTTTCAAAAATTAGATCATTGAAGTGATTTTATCCATCTTCCTACCGCCACTTGCCGTTTGTCTACATGGGGGCGACGATTGCTGTTTACATTTCTTTTTAAGTATTGTATTAACAATGCTTGGCTTTCTACCGGGGGTACTTCACGCTTTATGGTATTGTTTCTACAAACAATATTGAATGTTAAAGATGAACTCAAGAAGAGCTTATTGCTAAATAAATTATATAAAATGCAATTTTTTCGAATTTTATCGAATTAAAGAAAATTGCCAAATAAAGAATCGATTGCATAAATGATTTTTTGAGTTTTAGTTAAAAATTGAGGTTTAAATTTAAAATTTTGTTTAACATATCGTTACACATTTTAAAGATTATTTCGACAAATTTTCGAATCATGTATATTAGAGATAATGCCGACAAAAGAAAAACAAATTCCCAATTTTCGAAAATTGGGACACAGAATGTTTTAAAATCAGGGAACGAGTTATCCCATTTCAGGATATCGTGGATTCCCGGCGTTTTTTGGGTCGTGAATCACAAAATCCTAGAATCCGGTTCCAAAGGGAATTTATTTTTTGTCGGCTCTTTCCCTAACCATTGATATAAAATGAAAACCTTATCCATATTAAAAACCTCGATCTTTTTTAACATTCAATTTTAAACATTATCATTTTTCCCTTCTCTCGGCAACAATTCAACATCACGCTTTTCTTGTCTTCTACGAAAAGGAATACGTCCGTAAAAAATTCTTTCTTCCTTTGATGGAAATTTTGAAAGCATTGGCTTTCCTTTAGTTTCAAATACATTGAACTGTTTTTAAAAGAAAAAATTATTTTTGAAAATTAAAAGAAAAAAAACCTGGAAAAATAAGGCATCTGCAACAGCTAACACCAATAAAGTTAAATAAGGCAAGAGTTCCCAAATATTTCCCTGGAAAAAAATTTTTTTTGAATTTAATAAATGAATAGAAATGCCAAAATAATTTTCGAAAAAAATTCCTTGAAAAAATAAAAAAAACCACAAACCAAAACAAAAAGTTGAGGAGCCAAAACAACACCAATACGGCTTAGCACCTGACCAAAAGAATATGAAGTGTTTCTTATAGCAGTAGGGAATAATTCATTAGAAGCCAATCCATTAGTTGTATAAAGAATTGAACAAAAACCAATAACAGAAAGGATTGAGGCACGAGAAATAAAGGAATAATCGTGTTGAAGATCTATTTAATGAAAATTAAAAAATTTTTTAGTAAAGTTTGCAAAAAAATTTTTTATAAATCGTAAATGTTCCAACAAGAAGTCCTGGACTTTTTTAAACGGATTTGATTGAGTGGGCTTCTATGTATTAGGGACGGGTTTCCATTGGGGCATAGACACTTATTCTTCAATGGGACTCATTGAAGGGTTCTATTAGGAAAGGGGTACAAGCTTAAATTGGGGTATAGACTTTATTTTTACGATGTGTCTCATTGAGGGAGCTTTCTATTAGGGATGGGAATTTATTAGGGCTTGGAGGTCTCAAACTCGCTCTTCTATTAAGGATGGGCTTCTATTCTATACTGGGGTTGATTGAGTGGATTTCAATTAGAGACGAGCTGATGATATTGACATATGGACTTTATTTTTAAATGAACCTCACCGAGAGGTTTCTATTAGGAATGGGTGTTTATTAGAACACTTAGGATAATTAAAGTATTGAAAAATAAAAATACCCAAAAGATAAATAACAACATAAATTGAAATTGCAAAAGCAGCTAAAGCATCAGCCATAAAATGGGCAAATTTCCTTCCCAATCTTTTAACATTTATATCCAAAAATCCAATAGTTAAATTCATTGAATACCGAAATAATCCCATAAAAATTCCATTCATAAAAAGTGAACCAGATAATTTATCCATGTTGTAGAGAAGAGAATAATTCATTAAAGAAACAACCAAAAAGCTAAATGCAACAGCTAAAGTGTAGCGAGTAAACCTCAAAGTGTAGAAAAGATGAAGCTGAAAAAAAGTATTTTCCTTTTATTTTTTTCAAATTTTTAAATACTTAAAATTCTGAACTAACATACGAACTAATTGAATTCAGAAAATCATAATAAATTTTTATGTTAGAAATTCAAAAAAAATTTTTTTTCGAATGAGGGTTGTCGGTTCTTGAAAAATATTCTTCGGATATCCAAAACCGAACCAAGAATTTTTGGGGAAGAGCAGTGCCTCGGAATTCGTCTCGACTATATAGGAATACTATCACGCTCAAAATTCGGTATTTTCCAGCGCCGCATGCGAAAATTTGTCCTGAAATTCCTGAGGCATCCTCGTTTGCCGGACGAACCGAATAGAGCAGAACAGACCGACAACCCTTTTTTCAGAATTTCTTTCTGAATTTTCAATTAAAATTTTTTCTAAAAATTAAATAAACCTCACATAATTATATTTTTTATTTTTATTAGACGACTCCATAGATTGCTTTTCCAATCCTTCCAGAACAGAATCAATTACAGCCTCATCATAAGGACGTCCTTTTTAATAGAATAATTTTTAGAAATTTTTAAAAAGAAACCATCAATTTTGTGCATTCGAATAATCGCCTTTTTTGCTTCCCCAATTTGTCGAGATTGAATAAGAAAACGCGGAGATTCAGACAAAAATAGAAGCAAAGCAATGCAGGGTAAAGCAAAAATGGCTGAAACACGTTGAAGAATACGCCAGTCACCAGCGGCCCAAGCCATTATTGCAAAGAAAACAAAATTGGGAGACCTTTAAAAAATTTTTTTTGGAAATTCTGAACTCTGATTTTTTCCAGAAATTCAGAAATCGAAAATGAAAAAAAATTCTGAAAAAATCAGAACATTCTGAAAAATTAAAAACGTCTAAAAATCACAAAAGTCAAAAAATTCCTTCAAAAAATTAAAAAAAAATACCATGTAATTAAATTAGAAAGGCAAAAACGATGGCTGTTTGGATAATGTTCCGATGTAAAAACAACAAGAATAACCATTGTGCCAGCATTGAAAAAGTTGACAAAAAAGCGAACAATTGTAAACGAAATTAAATCTATTAGGAAAAAATTATTTAAGAGATTTCTAATTAAAAAAAAAAATAAGGAAACCATTAGTAAAAGAGGTAGCCACCATACACAAAATACAGCAAATTAAGGCGATTAACATAATTTTCTTTCGTCCATAAGAGTCGCTCAAATATCCAAAAACCATTGATCCAATAATAACACCAACCATTTGATAAGAAATTGTTGACTTGACGAGTTGGGATTCACTGAGAAAAATAATTTTTATTTTAGTGTCTTTAAGGGAGAAAAAATCTTTTTAATGAAAATATTTCAGAATTTTTGCTGGAAGTGCCAAAAAACGCAAATTCCGTCTAGTTGCTAATTAGAAAATTAAATAAAGGCCGGTCAAGTTATAATAATTTCTGGCGAAATAAATTGTATTATTAAGCCTCACCCATCTAAAAAATTTTTTTAGGATAGCTCCCTGAATAAACGACCAAGAGTACTACAAAACACATTTCATTTTCAAATCACTAAAGAGCTTAAATTTGCCTTTTTTGGCATTGCATCCAAAACTATTTTTCCCTACATTAATAAAAAAATTACCAATGATGTCCAAATTCAACGTTGACGGAATTAAACTGACTTTTCCACTTCAAAGTAGAATTGTCACAATCAAGACTTTTAGACCTATAGAAAAATTCTCAAAAAATATTCCCAAAAAATAAAACCTTTTTGAATCTCCAAATAATCCATTCAAAGCATTACAACGCTCTTTCGCAGATTTTTCTTCAAATTGGTGGTTTCCACAAGACACAAGAGAAGGAGCAGCACCAGCATAAGTCATATAGAGCATATTTCCGACCTTTAAAAAATGGGCAGATTTTTGATTTAAAGTTGAAAACGTTTTCCACTCCATTAAGAGAAATGCCCGTAAAACACCACTTTTTAAAGTAGGTTACTGGGAGCATGGGCCCTTGGAGAAATAGCCAGCAAAACACCACCTGGTAAAATAGAGATTTCTGAGGTGAATTAAACTTCTCCAACTAGTAGGTTTTATGACTAATAAAAAAGTAAAAAACTGCAGAAAAAATTCAGTAGGTTTTTAACCTTTGAAAATGCTCCTTAGCTTAATAGCCAAAAACAATCAAGTTTCTAATCAAATTACAGAAGCAGTAACCCCAAGTGACTAGTTTAACAAAATGTGTTCTGTTGCTATTTAAAATTAATAAAAAATACTCCCCTCTTTGCCTGACGGCAATTTTTTTGTGAATTTGACGTTAGCCCCGAAAACGTCCCCGACACACCACAGAAGAAATTTTGAATTAAAAATAAACCTGAGATAAAATAAGCAATTCAGCAAAAATACAAACAATATAAGTATACCGACCCAATTGATAAAAATCATCCAATTTGGGAGGTTGTTTGGCCGTTTTTTCTGCTGCAATTTTAATTTCTTCTGTAGCAGAAGTTTCTGGGACAATTTTTTCTTTTGGCGGGGAGCTCTTTGGAGTTGCAACAACCTTTTCAGAATTTTTTTCAATAAGAGGCACAGATTGGTCTTTATTTGAAATTGTAGCTGATTGTGTTGGTTCCGATTTTGATTCAGTAGAATCCTCTGTTGATTTTGATGTTGTAGCCATTTTTAAGAGTAATTTATTCTAAAATAAAAATTAATAAAATTTAAAAAATTGAAAATGCGTTGATTAAGGAAATCTAAAGGATTATTTTGAAGAAATTATGGAAAATATGTAAATCTTAAAAATTGAAAATTCCAAAAAAATTTGTAGCAAGACTCTTAAACTTAAACGGGTAAAGCCCGAATAATCGAAGGCCGAATAGTCGCGACCCTTTGGCCTGCGACCGAATATTTAGTCACGACCCTTTGGTATGCGACTATTCGGGCGTGCCCCCTCTTAAACAAACAAGTTTACCATTTTGTCGCAACCATTTTGTCGCGTGTCCCCACAAAAGATCGATTATTTGAAAAAATCGATTCGGCCAAAAGGGGTTAAAAGAGTCCGGCAATCCGCGGAAAAAAGTTTTTGCCGCAGCGGAGGAAGCCGGGCATGTCGAGCGGAACGAGCGAAGCACGGCCATCATGTAGCGAAGACCATGCCCGGCCTACCCTCCGTAGCAGCACAAAAAAGTTTTTCCAGTGAAGAGTCTATTGGTCATACATAATTATGTTCAGACTCAACTGGCCTTTTCAATAGTGTCGATCTTTTCCCATTTTGGCCGAATCGATTTTATTTGCGAATCGATTTTTTGTATAGGGCCTTTTTTCGTTTTTGCCTTCGCGTCATTTGTGAGGGCTTATTTTATTGGTTTTTCGATTTTCTTAATTTTTTTTTTTCATTTAAGTTTTACTCAGTATTCTTTAAAATTTAAAAATGTACATACAACAACGTTGGTTTGTCAACAGCTCGTGGTTCCGGTACAAATGCTTATGTTCAGTCAAATGTTGCTAGTCTTATAGTTAGCTTTTCACGGGTATTTTTCAGTTATCCTTTTCTTCAAAATTTTCTTCATTTTCTTTTAGAATAAAATCGTTTACAATGCTGAAGAGGATATTGCTCGTGCCGAATCAGAAGTAAATAAAGCACCAAACTTGGAGTTGTTGGATCACGAATATAAGTGGTTAATTGAAATTAAATGTGTGGAATTTGAAGACTTGGTGGAAGGAAAGGTTTGAAGTTTTTAATATAAACGGGAATTCTTTTTTCAATTTTTTAGGGATTCAGTGAAGAAGGACGAAGCAATATGCGGTGGACATTAGGTATTGATGCTTCTTTTGTTGATGGATCTTCAATGGAGAAGTAGAAAATTAATTAGTTAATGGCAGGGCTCTCATTCGTACTTTATTTGAAAGTACAGTACTTTAAAATCGACCTCCGTACTTACAAAATTGAATTTGTACTTTATTGAAAGTATGTACTTTAAAATCAACATTTTGGATTGAAAATGAAACTCCTTACCGGTTGGTCAAGATTGCTAGTTTTTTAAACTGTTGTCGAATAAAAATTAAAAAAAACTTTTTTAGACTTAAGAAGCAAGTACAACAATACACAAAGAAGCAAAGGAAATGGAAAAATCTATGATGGAAAAGCTTTTGGAAAAAATCAAGGAAAAGCGTGAACAAAAGAAGGAAATCAAAAAGATGAAGCATGCGATGCGTAAAAAGAAAAAAGATGAGAGCGACGATTCTTCTTCATCTGATTCAGATTCCTCAGGTTTTTTTTGAATATCTTTTCGTGTATTTATTGTCTTTTTTTAGACTCGTCTTCGACAGATTCTTCATCTCGGATGACTTGGACAGAACTTCACTACAGACGCTTCACCAACGACAACTCTTCGGCATCTTCAACATCAACTAAAGTCCCCCTGGGCAACTCAAGTCCCCCTGCCTCCGTGCAGGGGGCAACTCAAGTCCCCCTGCCTCCGTGCAGGGGGCAACTCAAGTCCCCCTGCCTCCGTGCAGGGGGCAACTCAAGTCCCCCTGCCTCCGTGCAGGGGGCAACTCAAGTCCCCCTGCCTCCGTGCAGGGGGCAACTCAAGTCCCCCTGCCTTCGTGCAGGGGGCAACTCAAGTCCTCCTGCCTCCGTGCAGGGGGCAACTCAAGTCCTCCTGCCTCCGTGCAGGGGGCAACTCAAGTCCCCCTGCCTTCGTGCAGGGGGCAACTCAAGTCCCCCTGCCTCCGTGCAGGGGGCAACTCAAGTCCCCCTGCCTTCGTGCAGGGGGCAACTCAAGTCCCCCTGCCTCCGTGCAGGGGGCAACTCAAGTCCCCCTGCCTTCGTGCAGGGGGCAACTCAAGTCCCCCTGCCTCCGTGCAGGGGGCAACTCAAGTCCCCCTGCCTCCGTGCAGGGGGCAACTCAAGTCCCCCTGCCTCCGTGCAGGGGGCAACTCAAGTCCCCCTGCCTCCGTGCAGGGGGCAACTCAAGTCCCCCTGCCTTCGTGCAGGGGGCAACTCAAGTCCCCCTGCCTCCGTGCAGGGGGCAACTCAAGTCCCCCTGCCTTCGTGCAGGGGCAACTCAAGTCCCCCTGCCTTCGTGCAGGGGGCAACTCAAGTCCCCCTGCCTTCGTGCAGGGGGCAACTCAAGTCCCCCTGCCTCCGTGCAGGGGGCAACTCAAGTCCCCCTTGCCTTCGTGCAGGGGGCAACTCAAGTCCCCCTGCCTTCGTGCAGGGGGCAACTCAAGTCCCCCTGCCTTCGTGCAGGGGGCAACTCAAGTCCCCCTGCCTTCGTGCAGCGGGCAACTCAAGTCCCCCTGCCTCCGTGCAGGGGGCAACTCAAGTCCCCCTGCCTCCGTGCAGGGGGCAACTCAAGTCCCCCTGCCTTCGTGCAGGGGGCAACTCAAGTCCCCCTGCCTCCGTGCAGGGGGCAACTCAAGTCCCCCTGCCTCCGTACAGGGGGCAACTCAAGTCCCCCTGCCTTCGTGCAGGGGGCAACTCAAGTCCCCCTGCCTTCGTGCAGGGGGCAACTCAAGTCCCCCTGCCTCCGTGCAGGGGGCAACTCAAGTCCCCCTGCCTCCGTGCAGGGGGCAACTCAAGTCCCCCTGCCTCCGTGCAGGGGGCAACTCAAGTCCCTCTGCCTCCGTGCAGGGGGCAACTCAAGTCCCCCTGCCTCCGTGCAGGGGGCAACTCAAGTCCCCCTGCCTCCGTGCAGGGGGCAACTCAAGTCCCCCTGCCTCCGTGCAGGGGGCAACTCAAGTCCCCCTGCCTCCGTGCAGGGGGCAACTCAAGTCCCCCTGCCTCCGTGCAGGGGGCAACTCAAGTCCCCCTGCCTCCGTGCAGGGGGCAACTCAAGTCCCCCTGCCTCCGTGCAGGGGGCAACTCAAGTCCCCCTGCCTCGTGCAGGGGGCAACTCAAGTCCCCCTGCCTCCGTGCAGGGGGCAACTCAAGTCCCCCTGCCTCCGTGCAGGGGGCAACTCAAGTCCCCCTGCCTCCGTGCAGGGGGCAACTCAAGTCCCCCTGCCTCCGTGCAGGGGGCAACTCAAGTCCCCCTGCCTCCGTGCAGGGGGCAACTCAAGTCCCCCTGCCTCCGTGCAGGGGGCAACTCAAGTCCCCCTGCCTCCGTGCAGGGGGCAACTCAAGTCCCCCTGCCTACGTGCAGGGGGCAACTCAAGTCCCCCTGCCTTCGTGCAGGGGGCAACTCAAGTCCCCCTGCCTCCGTGCAGGGGGCAACTCAAGTCCCCCTGCCTCCGTGCAGGGGGCAACTCAAGTCCCCCTTGCCTTCGTGCAGGGGGCAACTCAAGTCCCCCTTGCCTCCGTGCAGGGGGCAACTCAAGTCCCCCTGCCTCCGTGCAGGGGGCAACTCAAGTCCCCCTGCCTCCGTGCAGGGGGCAACTCAAGTCCCCCTGCCTCCGTGCAGGGGGCAACTCAAGTCCCCCTGCCTCCGTGCAGGGGGCAACTCAAGTCCCCCTGCCTACGTGCAGGGGGCAACTCAAGTCCCCCTGCCTTCGTGCAGGGGGCAACTCAAGTCCCCCTGCCTTCGTGCAGGGGGCAACTCAAGTCCCCCTGCCTCCGTGCAGGGGGCAACTCAAGTCCCCCTGCCTTCGTGCAGGGGGCAACTCAAGTCCCCCTGCCTCCGTGCAGGGGGCAACTCAAGTCCCCCTGCCTTCGTGCAGGGGGCAACTCAAGTCCCCCTGCCTCCGTGCAGGGGGCAACTCAAGTCCCCCTGCCTTCGTGCAGGGGGCAACTCAAGTCCCCCTGCCTTCGTGCAGGGGTCAACTCAAGTCCCCCTGCCTTCGTGCAGGGGGCACAAATTTTGGTGTGTCCATGTGCCGTTTTGTACATTGGACCTGCCCTCTGCTTCGGAGGGGGCTTTTAATCATTAAAAAATACATATTTACCCAGTGTTAATCTCTAATTCCTTCTGTCTAATACAAGTATAAATTTATAAAGGTTTGGAATTTTTACTTTGTTTTTTAATTTTTATATTTTTTAAATTATATAGTTGATTTCCGTCAGTTCCTGACTGAAGTTCGTCAAGTTCGCAATTTCCGAAGGAACGAAGATGGTGGCACTAAGGAGGCTATGAAGAGAATCGTTAAAAAGAAATTAAATAAAAATTTTGTGTAAATATTTATTGCAAGTAAATTAGAATAATTAATAAAAATGTTCAATAAAATATAAAAAAGTGCAATTTGTAGTAAGATTAGATTTTGTACAATTATACCAGTTATCGAATTGTAATCATTTTCAAATCAAAAGTATTCTTATAAAAGTGATCTTTTAAAAATTTGACCTTTTCGGGACTTGCTGATCTCAACCTTTTTGTCGATCAGTCGAGAATTCTTTTGTTATCGTGTAATGTATTGTATTGGCTACCCAGTGGTAGCCAAGAATATTAAAAACTATCCACCCTACAAAAGTTATAGGGGCGGCACTCAAACGAGTCGGGACTCAACAGATGATGTACCCCAGAATTTGTAATAAAGATTTCTCCTTTTTTTGGATCAGAATTTGTAAGATAAATTGTATAATTGTACAATAGAATCACAATAAACAATTGCAATAAGCAATTAAAAATACTTCATTGAAAGTTAAAAGAATGTCACAATTTTCTTTTAATAACGATAGAAGCAGTACCAGAATGCATGGATAGCACCCGGAATCCAACCACAGATCCAAAGCACAATGTTAATGATTAAATGAAGTAACATATCCGGGCCTGAATTTTTTGTTTTTACATGAAAAAATCAAAATAAGAGACTCACCGCCATGCAGTAAAACTGCAACAGGGGGCAGAAAAACACAAAGAATTGCTTCCACAACTTGTCTGGGAGTCCAATAGCGGTCATCATACCGCCGTTTAACTCTTGTTAGAGGCTCATTATTTTTGTTTTCAACAAATTCAGAGACTGATACCTTTTGAGATGAAACAGTTTACAATTGTAAAAGGATAACATTAAAGATCGGACTGCATCTGGACTCAGATCTTGATTTTTCTTGGATTCAGAGTCAAGATCAAAGCATTTTTTACTGATTTTTCCTTGACTCAAGGTCAAGAATCTGATCAAGATCCTCTACCAGAATCAAAAATCAAAATATAGGGTTTTTACAATTTCCGATCTCTAGATACATAACATACCTTCTCATTACTTATGCTTCCTTCAGGAAAAGCCAAAGAAGCCGAAAAGCAAAATGAAATACTTAGCAAAGTACAAATAAAAATATATTTGTTCATTTTAACGATTTTTAACGTGAAAATAAAATGGGAGAGAAAGTAACGTAAACAAAATAATCACGGGCTCTTACATAAAAATATATTTATACAAACAAAAATTGGCCGTGTAAAGGAAATGATGAGTAATCATTAAATTTTTGTTAAAACAGGGGGAGGCTGTCAATAAATTTCAATGTATTTTGGGGTGTTCTCTACATTATTGCGTTGAAATTAACGTTAATTAGGGATTGTAAAGTATTGCAAATGAACTACAAAACCAGAATTAAAACAAGTTCTGATTTTATTGTACCATAACAAAGTTTCAATAACTATTGCAAGGAAGAAGCTCCCTTCTTTTTAGGTTCTATTAAAAGAGATCCAGCTGGTAAGCATTTAAAACACTTACTAGGCGGAGTTCAAGTTTTATTAAAATAAAGAGTAAAAGCAGCACCTCAACAGCTCATTCGGTAGTTCACCTATACGTCGTGTGCGAACGTGCTGAGCAATAACTGCCTGGAGTCACAGGAGCGATGCCTACTCTGTGCTAAACTTTTAACAATCACTCGAAGAAAAAAAACTAGGCATGTTTATCAGAATAAATAAATAACAACAGATTACAATTTTGATACAGATATTCTTAAAATTATAAGTGATTAGGTATTCATATAAATTAACCGGTTGAGCTAAAACGTTATCGGAGAAATATTGAAAGAAAATTGGTAAGAAAATTTAAAAAATCTACTACAGTACTAGAGGTGTAGAAATTTAAAAATCTTTGGTATATTTCTAAACTCTGCTTACAGACCCCCCGAACCTTTGTTGTTCTTCATTTGTATTTGGAGGATTCCTAGCAGTAATAAAGTCATGACCATTACCGTTATTATTTAATTGTCTAAAGTTTTGGGTATCCCAAGTTTGTTTCTGTATTCCCTCAGTTGATGAACCCTCATCAACTAAATAAGCATTATTTTGAAAAGCTACAGCTTGTTGTTGTTGCCGCGCTGTGGAATTATTCCCCTTTCGAAATTGCGAAGCAAAGAAGGGGCTGCCTTGATTATTTTGATGATTATTATGATTGGAGGAGGATTGAAAACTGCTAGTACTTGGACGTATTGGCAACTCATACTCTGCTGAAAATTTGCTAGTTTACCCTTTGGTTTGGCCAAGATTTCTAAAACAGACCCGAATCATTCAAAGCAACATTTGTGGTGGTTGTAGATATTGTGCCATTAGTGCCCTGTTGTCCTAATTGGCGTCGAGGCACCGGCTTGGGTCCAAAACGGGAATGCTTTCTTGAGGAGGAATTTTCTGGGAATTTTTGTTTTAGAAAATATTTTTAATATTTTATTAACCACTCTTTTCAAAACGCAAAGCAGCAGATGAATCCCCTCCATTAGTTGTTGTACTAGATTCATGTGTGGATGTGCTGGAATCTAATGAATTTTCGAATCCATTCAAAATTCCAGATGGAAAAGGGTCTCTGGACTTTAAAATTGGGAAAGAAATTTAAATAAATATTCAGACACTTAAATACTTGAAAATGAGTAAGCCCTCGAATAGACTCCATTCTAGGCTGAATATCCAAAAATTTTGGTCTTTGTTCAGCTGGAATTGTCCAACACGATCTCATCACTTGATAAAGCTCTTCTGGACATTCTAAAGGCCTCTCTAAGCAGATCCCATTGCTTAGCAAATTTAAGACCTTAAAATTTTAAAAATTTATAGGGGCAAGCATATTTAAGAGAGACTTCTGTATTTTGTCTGTTAGAATAAGGCTGCTCTCCCAAAGTAATAATCTCCCAAAGTAGAACACCAAAAGCCCAAACATCGCTTTTTGAAGTGAATAATCCTTGAGTAATGACTTCTGGAGAAAGCCAGCGTAAAGGTAACATATCCTTAAAAATACTGGGGTTAGTTCAATTTTATTTAATCGAAAATTCCTGCCTGTCCATGTACTCTATAATAATCATCGACAAAGAGGGATCTAGCCAATCCAAAATCAGCAATTTTAGTAACCCTTTGAGGGGATGTTTTGGAAGAAATTAGGCAATTCCTGGCAGCAAGGTCACGATGTACGTGCTTATAAGTCTCCAAATGTACACAACCACGACCAACATCTACGGCTATTGCTATCAGATCGCGCAAACAGAGACGTGAAGAACGGCCTTTCTTGGGGCGGCTGAAAATTTATATGACTCTCTTAATGAAGGAGTTAAGAAAACCATTCTCGAAGGAAGCCAAGCAAATCACCCCCATCCATCAATTCAAGGACTAAGAAGTGTTCTCCCTGCTCCATATTGACTCCAAGCAATTTTACAATATTAGGGTGATCAAAATTGCTTAGAAAACATTAAAAATTATTTAAGATTTTTATAAAAAATACTTCATAAGTATGGCTTCTTTGAGAAATTTAATTTTATTTTCGGCACTATTATCTTTCAGGTATTTGACAGCTACTCGAACACTGACATCCCTGTCTATGCGCATAAAGCCCTTTTTAAATTAAAATTTTTTTCTTAAATTTTATGAAGACTCAGCTACCTCACAAACTCGTCCAAAACTCCCAATTCCAAGCTGTTTAGTTATTTTAACCCTTTCTGGGGTTATTTTTGGCAAAACTTAAAGGGAAATATTTATTTTTTAAATTAATTCCTTAAAATACTTTTAAGTTCATTTTGAACTTCTGGAGAAAATTGCATTTGTGTTTGATGAAATTGTTGAATTTGCTCTCCAATGCTTTCCATGCAAATTGGTTTGTGAAGCTTCTCTCGAACCTTGCGCCTTTTAGACATTTTTAGTCTTACTATAAACAAAGTTATGAATAAGATAAAATTCTGAAAAATTCATGCATACATGTATAATAAGCTCCAGCGCACAATATCAGCGAAACAAGTAGCAAAATCAACAAAACATTCCATACCGTGCCTTTTCCATTCCTCTCCAAACCACTAACATTGTCTGCCCCATTCACCTTTGTATATCCAAAATCTCCAAACCCTTCAGAATTTGCGGCCCGAACACGGAACTGTCCATTTGTAAGATCTGAGTCCTCACTTCCATGGCGCGCATGGGATTCTGACCAGGTAACACGCCAAAATAGTTTATCGGAAGGAAGACCTCGATCAGCAATCTCCCACTCAGACTGGCTGTTAGGCCTTTTTTAAAGAAATGATTCAGTGTTTAACTTATTATTAAAAACCGAAACTCCACAGCATAATTTTGAATAGTCTCGCCTCCATCAGAATCGGGAGCTGACCATCGCAAAGTCCAGGTTCCTTTAGGATCATTAATTAGTTGAACGTTCGTAGGCGCGGAAGGTGTTCCGGCTGGATAATTAAGAGTTTATTTAATGGTGATGAGGTTCACCTTTAGTCCTAGCCTGCTGAACTTGTTGGAAAAAAGATTCTGTTATCAATACCTTCTCTTTCTTGTTTGAAGCTTCTTCATTTGGAACAATATTATTGTGATATTCGGCCAAATAACGATAATCATATGTTGTGGCTGGTCTAAGGTCTTCTATGCAAAATGAATGTTGTGACCCTGTAGATATTAGGGTTGTATTCTGTTCAAGTGTAAAGGTAGAATTGTGAAGGAGAGTCCATGACGCATCTACTGCACTCTACAAATAATTTTTCTGTTTTTCCACAGGCAGAAATTTTTTCAATACCTGTCTATATTGAATAGAAACTTGAATACGTTGAACATAAGGAAATCCATTTTCTGCACCAGGCAGTGTATTCCATCGAAGATTTAACGAAGTACTCGTTGCATTTTCCAATCGTAGAATTCCTGGAATCTCTCGAGTATGTGCTTGTGTTTCAACAGAGGTAGCCTCTGGATCCTCCACAACATTTAACGAAATGCGATTGACATGAAGTGCTAATATCTGAGGGAGGGATGAGTTAAAAAGCCTTAAAGCTATCTACCCAAAAATGATAGTCTGTAGAAGGACGCAAGTTTGGCACTTTTGCCTGACATATATCATTTTCATCGCATGAGACAACATCTGCCGTTGGAGTAGAAAAGTGACCACGTGCACCTTCCTGAGGGCGAACGGCTACGGGAACGGGAGAAACAAGGGAAGAACTTTGTTGGCTTATCTTAAATCGCTCAGAATTTGTTAGAATTTTTTTAAGTTACCCTATAACGAATTTCGGAAGCAGGCGCATTCAATAATTCAGGAGGCAGCCAACTCAAAAGTACAGTATCCGGACTGAGAGAAAAGGCCGTTGGTTCTCTCGGAGCAGAAGGAAAGCCAAAGCCAGTGTGTAGCAACAATTTCGGTTCAGATTGTCCTTGAACTGGCCAAAAACGGTTTGACCAACCCAAAGAAACATCATAACTAAAAACTAAAATTTTTAAAAATTTTTAAAATTAATTTTTACTCCGTATTTTTGTCCAAAACGCCTTGTTCAATAAAAGTTTTGTTGTTAGTTGTTCGAATTATCTTCTCTTTTTCAGTACCCCTCTTCCGGAAATGTAATTCGTATTGAGTTTGAGGTTGTGAAATATTTTGACATTCAATCGGTAGTTTAAAATTCTCGTCTTTTTCATCTCTCTTGGGTTCTGGCAGTTCTACAACTGCCCCAGTCCTTCCATCATTTTTTACAACAACATCAACAGAAGAAACGGAAGGTAGTTGAAAACAATTTCTGTCGGGAAAGGGTTGCGATGATTGGGAGACTGTCAATAACTGTTTAAGTGGAGGATTTGGAATAGGGAATTGTGAAACTGAAGCAGATAGGCGGTCATAAACAAGCAGGTCTGTAGGTGTTGCAAACACAAAAACTTTGTCCGCTACAGCAAATAAGGAAATTGCCTTTAAACCACGTTCTGTAAAATGAGAATTTGGTCAAAAAATCCTTTTAAAGTTTACCCCCAAACATTTCCCAATTAACATTAACTTCAGGACAATTATCTGATCCAAGTTTTAGCTCCATTAATCCGTTCCAAGTAAGAGCATATAATTGGGGAGAAGCAGCCCTATTCCAAATAAACTCTCCAACAATAGAAGTTATTGTCTTTTGTTTCAGACACCCGGTTGTCAGTTCCAAATTAGTTTCAGTCCCATTATTCAAATTCAATGCGAGTAGGGAGCCGTTTTTTGTCAGCAAAATAGCTGTGCTACAAAATACAGAGATCCTTAGCTTTATCAGGGACTATTTTTAATTACTTTGTAAAAGGATCAAAAATTAATTGTTTCGCATCCTGCGCCCCCATAGAAAGCTGAAAAAGCCGTTTAGGACTAATTGTGGTAGCTGAATCTTGTTGTAGTTGATCTAACTGTATTTGCATTAATGCTCGATTGCCGACCAAAAGTAATCTGTTGGCAACCCAATCAGAAGTCATAGCATCAATTTGTTGTTGCACAAAATCACCGATAAGTGAAGCCGGAAAATAATTAGGTTAGTAACCTTTTTGGAACCTAAATTCCAACCTTATAAACGACCTGATCAACTTGATTAATATCCAATTTAACCAAAAATAATTGGGAGGAAGGAGAAGATGATGATAACATTTCTGTTTCCTTTCTAATTGCATAAAGCTCATTTCCAACAAACGTAAGTGATTGATATTGAGATGAATGAAGCATTTGTTGTTGTTGTTGAGATGGTTGTTGTTGCTGTTGTGTAGTTTGTCTTCTTCGATCTTTAGTAGGAACTGGTATCTGACGCAATTTCCTTATGCTCGCACCACTTTTTGATACTTCTATTGTCCAATTTTGAATAGCTACAAGTGATTCTGTTGAATCGATAGCAAAAAGGCGGATCAGGGGTTTAAACTCTAAAGATATATAATTTTAATTTTGAAGCAATTTTTTTCTTAATAATACCACTCCCGTCGATATCAGCTAAAGCAGAAGGAGGGCCAATTAGTTGTTGATCATTAATTGCATAGACTAGACAACCAACTTTTCCAGAGCGTACAGTAAAAGAGAAAGAGCGATGATTGCTTTTTAGTGTAGCATTCATATATTGGGTAGGGGAACTGTTCGGATCTGATGTTGTTTGAGTTGCTCCTTGAGAGGAAGATGGAGAAGTACTGCTACTACTAGTTGCTCCTTGTGTAATTGTGCAGTTCAATTGATATCCTAATTTCTCCCCATTCCATTCACTCGGTTCATGCCAAAAAATGTCTATAATTGCTCGACTTCCGTCAACCGTCCTCTGTTGTGTAGCATAGATGCGCACACCTTCTGGTGCAGTTGGGGGTTTAGTAGCTGCATTCAACCCAGTCTGATTAGCCAAAACACGGATCCATGGACTAATAGCTTCAACTTGAGCATCAAAGCGTTGACGGGAGTTCCAGGCTTGTAAAAGCTTTGGCGGCAAGGAAAAACTGTTTTCTTGGCAAACAATTAAATTAGGCTCTTTGCCAGAAAATCCATCACGAAAGAGAGATAATTTGTAAAGCAAAGGTATTAGTTGATGTGATTTTGACTCATCTGTTATTTAAAGTTAAAGTAAATTTCTTTTGTTTGAAACTTTATACCCTCTGAGGATGTTGCCGATGAACCAACTTCCCCTCCATCACCTCTAACTACCGTCCAACGCAATTGTGCCGTTTTTTCGTCAAAATGAATAGGTCCATCAAAGTGAAGAAATCTTCGTTCAAAAGGAGAAACGCTGTCAGCAACCATTAAATGATTTATTTCACGAACAGCAAAATTCAAATTTATATTGGTCAAGTCATAATCAAGTGTTCCAAAGTACCCGTCTTCAGTTAAAATTAAAAAACGACCATCAATGAAACCGCCAACTTGACGAATTCTAAGTAAAGATTGGTTATGGAAAGCCTATTCAAATACCTGTAAGGCAAACCAGTAGGCACAGAATTCACTAGCTGAAAAGGCTGGTTCAAATCAACAGGTGCTTGAAGCAATTGAACTGCCCCAGATGAAAGTTGAACGAGTAATAAAATTCGTTGTTCATCTGAACTGTCATCTACAGCAACTCCAACAACCTCACCACATTCCTCACCTCCTACAGCACAATTATAAATTCTGAAAGGAAAAATTTTTTCTAAGAGTTAAAAAATATTACGAGGGATTACTCCAAGTCTGGGATTCAGATCTCCGAACATTTCGGTTCGGAGATCGGATCCTTTTTTTCCAGTATACTCTAACCCCACTTCCAGTGGATTTTTCCTTTAAATAATCAAAATAAATTACAATTTGTCAAAGCTTGAAGTCATCCGATACACCATTACTGAATAAGCTGAAGCAAGAAGTACAGAAGCTTTAGATGGAATTAAAGTTATTTGATGAATAAATACAGATTCCAAAAATTTAAAATTATTATTATCAAATCTCTGAGTAATTAAAGCATCCTTTCTAGATGAACTAAACAGAACATTTGAGGTGTTGTCGAAGGCAATAGCTATTCCAGCCTCTGTGGGTATTTGAGGGTCTAGGGGAGGGTGTTGAATCAGAAAGATGTTTTTAAATTAAATTACAAAATAATTTTTGTTCATCAGTAAATTCTCTTCCCTGCCAGTCAAAAACATTTATATTTGAAGAATGTAAAGTTAACATATCTGTTGTTGGTGAGGAGGATATCCGTTTATTTAAAAGTGAGATTTGCTTGTGTGATTGAGCTAATTTTAGAGGCTGACTTTTGGCGGTAATTTGAGCTGAATAGAACAATGATTAATTTATGAAAAGTTAAGGATATGGAAGGCACTTTAATGGAAGATGCTATCCAAGTGTCTAGGCTTTCCAAGGGTCTAGGCGTCCTGGCACTCGAAAACAGCTCTCCCAAGGGTGTCTAGGCGTCTTGGTACTCGAAAATCGGGAACTTGACGTTTTTCAGGTTGGGAATCCCAATACCCAAAATTGGGAATTTATTCAATTGCTGGGTAGACACTTGGTGCCATCGGACACGAATTCACCAGGGCGGAGTTAAGGGCATAATTAGAATTTTTTAGTTTTCCTTTATTTTACCTGAGCATATTTTATTATTATTTGCGGTGCATACTCTAACTTTTGCAGTATAATAGCCTCCGGAAGGAACATTACTTTCAAGCTGTATTGCAGGTGAATGGGTGTCCTGAGTAAATCCTTTTGCATATATCTTTGTTATTAACTCCGATAAATTGCTAGAACTATCAGTTTTATTATCATTAATCTCTGTAGAATTATCCAAGTCACTTGGACTATCCAAATTAATTTTTGTAAAATAATCCTCGTCATTTTGTAAAATATATTCATAAGTGAGTGAACGCCATGAGGTTCCTATCGCTATAATATTTAAGTTAGGTGTCTTAATAGATTAATTAAGGTACCTTGAAAAGGCAGAAAACTAGGTGATTTCCAGCTAATAAAGGCTTCAGTATCAAACAGAATTAATCCAACCTTATGTGGGGGAAACATGAAGGGAAGCTTGGGGAAAGGTTTGAGTAAAGTAAATTCGCGCACTGGGCCAGCAAATAGACTAAAAATGAATTTTAACTCAATTTTCAATTCAAATTCAATTCAAATTTACTATTTATTTAAATGAATCGTTTTGTGTTGGTGTTCAAACTCCTCACTAAATAAACAGCTTTCCCAGGGATGTGAATCCCCACAGCTTGTGCTGATCCAGAAAAGGCGATTCTGATAAAATGTTGAACGTATAACATTTCGATAACGATCATTTAATGTCCAACCCTCACGTTCGTCATGAATATTGGAATCTACTAGATCCCTACCTTAATAATTTTAATTTTTATTTAAAATGAGAGAATTCAAGTAATTTAAGTTCCAAATTTACCAACTCATCAAATGCCCAGATTTTGTAACTACAAACAATTTCTGATCACTAACATCAACTTGAACAGTATTAGCAGCAGGAATATCAGATATACGTCGGGTAATGGTCTGAGAAAAATTTTGAGGGGCATCTACTGGGAATAGATGCATTGAAAAAACATCCCCAACATTAGTGGAATAATAAATGAAACTAAAAATTTAAAAGACGGATGAGATTCTAAATTTAAAAAAGACCCATTCCAAGGATCACAGGCTATCCTTTGAACATAATTAGGCGTATTTGTTAGCAGCATATTTGTTGTTGTATTATCACAGGTGTTTATTTTGCAACGAACAATTCCAACTTTATCTCGGATGGCGTAAAAGCGCTCCTTTAAATATTTATTTTTATTAGTAGTTTATTTGTCCTTTTCCGGCACTTATTTTCTTTCCCGGAATTTATTAGTCTTCCTCCGGAATTTATCTTCCCTTTTCCGGATTTCATTTATGTCTTTATCCGGAATTTATTTATTCCTTTCCGGAATTTATTTATTCCTTTCCGGAATTTATTTGTTTGTTTCAGGAATTTATTTAAAGTTTCGTAATCTATTTATTCAGTTCCGGAATATTAATATTTTTCCGAATTCTATTGTCCAGGTTTTTTCGGAACTTTTCATTTTCCCCCTATACCTGTATAAAATCGACAACAATTTGTGTGATTGATACTCCATCCGCTTCCCTAACTTTCCTCGCTTGTGTTTTAACTTGTTCCATAGTTCTATTAATCATTTCCAATTCAACTCTAGATTCAAACAAAATTTCCAAATTGAATATAGCTCCATCCGAAAGCCCAATAAGCATTTCTGTTTGAGAAAGGGCACATAAAGCAGTGATAGTTTGAGAGTCATTCAAGGAAAATGCAACTTTTATGGGTTCAGTTAGCAATACAAAATCGTTTAAATCATCAATAAGATAGAGAGAAGAACCGTCAGTGAATAGCAATAATGGAGCTGTTGCTTTGGGTTCTGAGATTTTCAACAAAATTTTTTTTATAAATTTATAGTTAATAGAACCCTCAATCTCTTCCATGCTTATATTCAAGTGTAGCCCTTTGTCAGCAACTAAATCCTTATCCTCTCCTTTTCCTCCTTCCAACGGATGTCTCTTTTCTAGAGAGGAAGAGTGCTTCATATCTTCATCCCCATTTTCTGATAAACTTCCGGTGTCAGTAATTATAAGGCGAAATTCTCTTCCTTCTACTATACTAGTTAAATTTCTAAAGACATGGCATTTTGCGGAAGTCATTTCTGAAGCAATTAGGCCATCCAATTCTCCCTCTTTTGTGGTATTAAATAGTTTAAGTTTAAATTTATTTGGAGATTCTGAATCCCAACAAGCAACAAAACTTGAAGAGGAAAGTTGTAAAAAGGAGCCTGAAGAAGGTTGAGGCAGTTGTGTTTGTAAGATATTTTTTTCTGGGAATGTAGATTGCCGGAAATGTTTAGAAGAAACTATTATATTATCGCGCCAATTTGCTGCGAGCCGAAGCTTAAGTGTTTAAGGAGGATTTTAATCTATTGGAGGGATTCTAAAATACCTCAATATCAACATAATACGATTCTAGCGACACAAAAACAGTAGAAATTAAGGAATTTTCTTTAAATGCCTGTAAAATAATGTCTATTAAATGTATGTAAATTATCAGTGATTATTTACTTTCTCATCCATTCTCGTCCATAACCATCCCTGTTTACTCCCAGGACGACTCTGGGCAATCCACTGAATGTTGGTAGTTGATACTTCTTTGAGAAGGTTTGATTGAGCCTCAGGAAATGACCAATTCATTCCCAGACCTAGAGAAGAGTCATAGAATGATTCCACGGAAGAAAGATCAAGAAGGCCTGAACAACTATTTTATTGATAATTTTATATTAAATTCGACCCTGTATCTTGTGAAGGAATATATCAGTAACTGCACGACATCCTTGATTGCAGGCGTCAGCCCCAGCACCGATAGGATCACATCGAGAGTTACAACTGGAATCGTGAGAGTCTAAATCTTGGCAACCTAGTTTACACTAAAATAAGGGTTCTGTTCAAATTTTTTATTAAAGAATATACAGCGTCTGTAAGGCAATCAGAATCACAGTTGCCTTGCGAAAAATTTGACCAGCCTAGACTTCCATGGGGTAATGGAAATGCCTAAAGAAATATTAGGAATGCTTGAAAATTGAAAATTATGACTCAAATTCTACCAAATTCCTTTCTTGACAAAGTAGTTGACATTGATGGAGTGAATTTGAAAATACCGTTGCAATGGTAAATTGAAGATAATCATTTACAAAAATGAGGAGAAATGTTGATAAAATGGCACAATTTTTTCTAGAAAATGAGAGGAATATACTCTGGTTCTATGAGAGTATGATATCCACAGTAGAGATAGGACCGGGACATGGGACCGGGAGAAGATCGAGATTTCGATTTCGACGAAAATTTTTCGATCTCGAGAGACATCAATCTCGATCGAGATTTTTGGGGACATCGATCTCGAATCTCTTAAGTCACTCCCAGTCCGGCCACCAATTCACAGGGTTCCAAACCCCAAAGTTACTGATTTGCTGACAGCCTGATATCTACCCTCTCAAGTTTAATTTAAAATTACCTATAAAATTTAAATCTGAGCAAATTAAATGGATCACGAATAAAACTGGCATTAATGGCAAATAAATATTTTATAAATAAATGAAGCATTTGATCGAAATTAAATTAAATATTTTCAGATTGCTATGATCATTTTTTACATTTTAAACACAGTGTGGTCTTTGCTATGAATAATCATTAAATTGAAAGTAAAAATGAAAAAAATGAAGTAAAAGTAGCCATAGAAAAATAATTGACGATTAAAATGTCAGATTAAAAACGCTTTAATTATTGATATTAATAGAAAATTAATAGATTTTTTATCAAATTTAGGTAAATTATTGTCTAAAGGAGTTGGATTTGTTTGAATTTTTGTACAAATTATTTTTATTAAATAAAAAATAAATTCCTTTTTGAATAAGCATAGAAAAGTGAGAGATGTTGGAGGGTAAGGCGGCTGGTTAAAATTCGGACATTATTAAAATATATTGATTCAATGGGCAAATATTATATAGGTAAATTTCGGACGATGAAAATAAGCGGAAGGGTAAAGAAGGGGGTAAAAGCTAATGTATACAAATAAATTAAACTATAAAAATTTATTTTTTAAATTTTATATTAAAAATTTATTATGTACATAAACAAAGGTCAGTTTAATATGAAACAATTTTTATTGAATTGCACCAATTTCAAGAATAAATATAGGTAAAAAATAAAAGACGAATAATAAGAAACAAAATAAAGAAAAAGGCCTTGACGAGAAATATTAAAGTAAATCTAATGGGGAATGGCATGCGCGGGTGCGCGACACATAATAATCAAACAATCTGTCATATAGCCCCCTTTATGGTGAATAGAAGAAAGGGCAAAGTGTTTGTAGATCAGTTATGATCAATATGAATAAAACGAATTTAATAAATTTATTAATGAGCTCATGAGAGAATAATGTCTAATACGAGCTTTTTAGAACAATAAGAGGCTTCTGTAGTTTACAAAGCTTCTCATAGGAAGTGCAGGATATTATTTCAAAAGACCGGAAAACAAGAAAGAATCCGGAAAACAAAGAATATTATGTATTCTCCGGTACATATATTCTCCGGAATGCTCTCCGGAATTTTACCGGATCTCCATAAATATCAAAATAAATGTTAAATACATATAGCTGCGCATTTGTAATTTTAACACAAATATACATATTAATTATTTCACGTTATTATTTAATTTATCGGCGTCTCGCATTATTAACCACACTCTTGTTGATCATAAAATGAATGGCGTACATGTTCGTTAATTGATCCAAAAGTTTAAGGTAATAAAACACAAATTGAAAAGAAATTAATGTCTCCTTAAATTAATTTTTGGAGAATTTTGAAGAAATTGAGTCTACAAATTTAATAGAATTGCAATCAGGTTTACAAGAGAAGCAACATAATGAAGGAAGACAAATGAGTTACAGTAATCTGCGAGCTTTTTGAACAATATGAGGCTTCGTGTGTTTACTAAGCTTCTTTTGCAAGGCAAGGATAACAGTAATCTACGAGCTTTTTGGAACAATGAGAGCCTTCTATGGTTTACTAAGCTTCACTTTCAGTACAAGGAAAACAGTAAACTATAAGCTTATTGAAACAATAAAATTACTTTTATAAATAAAAATGTAACAAATTTTACATAATGTCCATGAAAATTTTAATAGACGTATGATAAAATTTTTTTCCTTATTCTACATATTTTTTAAATATGACTCATTTTTAACCATTAACAAGGTCATTATTTTTATACTAATTAGAATTGTTTTTTATTATTCCAAATGATTATAAGCAATTTCCACCTTCATTCCAAGAAGCAAAATTTTATGACGTCAGAAAACGGCAATTTATTTCTTTTGTTATTGCGCACTTTTTATAAAAGTAGTGTTGAAAAAGAAGCTTCTTTAAATGGAAAAAGGGGAGGAATGGATTAAAAGAATACATGATTGTAGTATAAATAATGGGAAGAATTTGTTATATTTTCATTTTAAATGTTTATTTAGAAAAAAATTTTAGGAAGGTTTAAAGAGGATAGGCAACGCCAGCGGGCAAGTCTGTACTTGCAACTTTTAGACATTTATTGCTATGAGAGAGCTTAGGAGGGAGGTGTGAGTTGGAGGTAGCTCCCTTCTTGAGCTAAGCTCCCTCCTTGCTATGAGGGAGCTTAGTTCGTATGAATAGGATCCAAGCTTTTGAGCGTATCCTATTCCCTTTCCTGTTACAATAAAGCAAGTTGGAGAGTAATTGAAAGGGGAATTGCAACTCAAGTTAACCTAAACTTGAACCTTCTATAAAATTTTCTAAATTTATATTCTTAAGGCTAATATTTTTAAAAATTTTATTATTTTTTCTTTTATTTTCATCAAAAAATTGTATTTATTAAGCAATTTCCATCATCAATCTTTACATTTTTCACCTAGCATTTTCATTTTTCTTTTAAATAGCCATTAGAAGATCCGCATTAATCGAACCGCGCAGTGTTCATCCATAGGGCGACAACAACCAACAACGAACAACAAAAGAAAAGTAAAGCAATTTGAAGGGGGATTGAAGAAGTTTTTTGAAGAAAGAGGAGAGAAAATGTTCATGTCCGCGACATTAACTTGACAATTTTTGACCAAAAAATTTTCATGTTTATTTATTTTTGGCTATTAAAATAACCTAAAGAATGGCTACTTAACCTTGCTGTTTTTAACAACTCAAAATAATTTAAAGTAAAAATAAAAATCGTGATCTCAACAACTATTGACAGACTTCTGATTTTTTATTAGTTGTAATTTATTAATAATTTAATTATGGAATTTTTGAGCAAGGAGAGGGCAATTTACATATTTTTGTTAATAACTCAATATGGATTAGCTTCATTTATTTCTCCAGTTGCAGGCATTCCACGTTTGGATAATTGGGTTAGTGATGGTTGTTGAAATATGGCCTACTGAATTCCATCTAGGGCTGGAGAGTTTTAAATAGGAGGGAGCTTGAGGAGCTTTAAGCATGGAAGCTTCAATTCAATTTTTTCGATAAAAATGTTTTAAACCTGTCTAAGCTTTTTAAAAGATGCCAAATAAAGTATATATTTTATATATCCAAAATTTAACTGAGAATCAACATAATGAAGGAATACAAATAAGTTACAGTAATCTACGAGCTTTTTGGACAATAATAGGCTTCTATGGTTTACTAAGCTTACTAGGATGTTCACGATATTATTTTATATATCCAAAATAATATCGTGAACATCCTAGTAAGCTTAGTAAACCATAGAAGCCTATTATTGTCCAAAAAGCTCGTAGATTACTGTAACTTATTTGTATTCCTTCATTATGTTGATTCTCAGTTAAACTTGTTTAATTTTATTAATCTTTTACACTAAAAAATATTCAAAATGAATAAATTTCAATTCAGAATAATGCAAATGGTCAACCTTTACAACAAAATCCAAGTGATTATTCCAACTATGCCCATCCTTATCAACTCTATTCTCAATGGGGATTTAATGGACATGCACAACCTGTACAGCCTTCACAATATTTTCAGGCAAATACTCGCCCAATATAAATTTTTAAAAATCCTATTTAGCCTTATTATTCACCTTCCCCTTCTCCATCTTCCTATCAAGTTCCATATGCTTTTTACAGAAATTCTGCCTTTGCATACCCAACAAAACAAATTGATAATGTTCAAAAGCAACAATTAGCTAATATTGCTGATGAAACGGAAAGTTTTAATTCTGAAAAAAGGAAATCACCACAATTCGTTGATGAAAATAATAGAGGTTCTGAAGATGGAATTCAACGAATTCTAAAAACCGTAGCTGAAAAGTTGCCCAAAATTGCTGAAACAATGTCTAGATTTGGGAATAAAGATTACAAGTTTGTTAAATAAACTACAGTAGGTCCTCGACTCGTAGAGAAGGGGGGGGGGAGATCTGGCTAGACTAGAGATCCTAGACTAGAGAAAATAGCTTGAAGATCGAACTGGGCCTGTATCAGGTGTCAAGTCAAGGCATTCTCAGCGTCCCTTATGCTTCAATTAACTTGATCTAGGTATGTGTAGGTATTGAAGTCCTGCTTAATAATATGGAAGGAAGGACCCAGCTAGCTACCATTATTTCAATCCCAGCTGATAGCATTCTTGCGTCAAGCACATAGTTTTGTTAATTTAGTCCAACAACCTCCAATTTTGGAGAAGATATTACCAACATAGACAAACAACAAGGCATATATCCAACAAAAGATTCTTCGTTAATCCCATATTCATTAAATAAGAGAGAATATGAATTAAAAGAACAAAATCAAAATTCTTTATCTTCATCACCTTTATTGTCGACTTTCGGTAAATTATTGTCAGCCTTTAATGCTGGAAGTAATAATCAGAATATCATGACTACAACAACTGCTAGTGTGGTTGTTGACTCAAATAATGGGGAAAATCCTATGATGAAGGTAAATTTTGTGAATGATTTACCATTTTGAAAATAGCCGATATCTTTTTAAGTCTGTGGATTTATCACCAGAATTAATCTATCAACAGAAGAGACAAGTATACAAAGGAGAACAACAATTGCCAGACGATAAAAATTATACCCCTCATTTAACCCCACCACCAGAATTACCATCACCCTCACAACTAAATCCACTAAATTCATTTCTTCAACAATTTGGCATTTCCAATTTAATGCCAATTGAAAAAGCTGAAAAAACTGTAGAAAATAAAGCAAGATCAGAAAAGCAAAAGGAAGAAAATGGCGATATAATTGGAAGCTTAATGCGTGGACAAATGCCTCAAATGCCCGATTGGTTAAGTCAATTCGGGCTTGATTCAATGCTTGGGCAAAATTTAAGTAATAATGAACAACAACAATCTGGTAATGCATTGGCACAAATATTTGGAAAGAAAGATGTTAAAAATGGTGGAGGAGGAGGTGCTCTTTCCTCCTTCTTTGGATCTGGTTTAGATGATGCTCCTAGGAAATAAAATGTGATTGAAAATTAGAGAATAATCATTCCGTTTTTTAATTATGTACATATTTTTGCTTGCTTTTTAATAAAAAAAATTATTAAATATTGCCAAGATAAGCTTTGTTAGTTTCTAGCATTTATGAGTTACAGTAGTTTACGAGCTTTTTGAATCAAAACGGTACTTTTGTGGTTTACCAAGCTCCTTTAAGAATATAATATTTAAATGTGAATATAACGTATCTAATGATATTAAATATTAAATCTATGATAATTTTAATAAACTAATAACCAATTTTAAAAGATTTACTTAATCGAGGATTAAGAAATTTTTATAAAAAGCAAAGATTAAAGTAATACAAAAATCAAAATAAATGCAGAAATCAAAATAATATCATAATCCCACAATATTAATCGGAAGGAAACAAAAAATGTTTATTTTGTTTATTCGATCATTGTGATCCTCTCATATTTTTTGGTACTTGTTGTGGTCCCATCATTAAAAGACTGCGTTGCTCGTATGGCAAAGATTGAATGTATGCCTTAAATTGGAGTTTTATTTAGTTTTCTTTCATATTTATTATGCCTGTAATTCCTGTTGTTTCTGAGCCCATGATTTTTCCTTATTGCGATGTATAGCTTTAAGTTTGTTTCGAACATCCTCTGGAAGACGTTCAAATCCAGGGGGTGGAGGGATTTTGTCAAGAATCTGAAAATTTTGATTAATGTTAAAGCGTGTCTAAGATGCATTTCTTAGATAAATCTTGCCTCATCTGAAAGTGAAGTCATTATTTTGTCTATTTTTTCCTGTTTCTGTAGAAAAGACAAAGAAGGATCGGCATGGATTGCCTTGAGAAAATATTTTTAAATTTTATTAAATTTTTGAATCACCTTTAATTTTTGTATAGCATCTGAAGGAAGGACCTTTTCCAAATAGGGTGGCAATTCAGGCTGGAAAAATATAAGGGATAAAAGGGAAGGTTAATAAAATTATTTAATTATTATTCCCAAACAGCTTGGTAAACGAACAAATTCTCCCCCTATTTAGCCAAGCTACTATTATATTTGGTCATACTACTCAAAAATAAAAAAAACTAAACGAATTGGGGAGGGTTTTGCATCTTCATCATATTATCAGCTTCATCCTTTCCCTTTTTAACCTCTCCATTATTTTCAGATTGTTGTTTATCTTCATAAGCTAATACCAAAAATGTATTTAAAGCAATAATTAAAATAAGGGGGAGAATTGAATTTTTAGAAAAATTCATTTTTAGAAAAAAAATTTTGTGAATGAAATTGTCCGAATGAAAGTCTCGACGTTTTATTTGAACAAAAAGAAGGGATAAAATGCCCCTTTTATAATACTTGACCCGCTGCAAATTTTTTTTGGTGCTTTGAACGAATTTGCTTTTTTGTGCACGTTTGAGAGATTTTAAAAATAACAAGTCAAATAGCACAGAATGGTGGCCGAAAATACATTATTATTTTTATTTTGGATTTATTTGTAGTCGAGAGTTTTTAAAATGTTTGTTTAAAGTATCAATTGGGTTACAGCTTTTTGAAAAAAGAAATTGTCCCCCTGTTTTGCTGAGCTACTTCAATTGAGTCTTATAACTTTGGAAAGAATAGAGCCTTTGAAATATTTTTTGGTAAAATTAAATAGAGAATTGAATAGCGAATTAAATTTGCTACAAAATAATAAAAGAAACAAAATTTTAACTTGAAAAAGTAAAAAAAGTAAAGTTGAAAAACCTTAAAAATAGGCTTAGTAGAGATAAAATTGTCCCACAATTTCAAAAACACTATCTGAAAAAATTAAAAAGGAAATTTTTTTCTTATGCCAAAAAAATTAAAAAACAATTTTCCAAAAATTAAAAAATGCCCTTTAATTAATTAATAGAAAATTTATGACTCAAAAGTCCACCAAAATGAGAGACTACAGTATACCTTTAATCTAATTAATAAAAAAAAAAAATAAATCCAAATAAAATCGTTATTATTTTTTGTTAAAAATCTTATAAAAATTTAAAATTATAAGGAAATTGGGAAATAAACTTGATTAAAAAATATACAGAATACAGTTTTCAGCGTCCTTGAAAAAGAAAAGTACAAAAAACCGGTGACGAAATAAAAAAGAAATTCGCGTAAATTCTTATATTAAAATGAACAAAGGTATTTAATGACAGATTAAATTAAATCAAGCGTTAAAAAAATTTTTAAGAAAGCCTAAAATAACGCTGCACTTTATGTGGTTAAAGGTTGATTTGTGAGAGAGAAAAAAGTTTTTGAAGAAAAAAGTTTTCAAGAAAAAATGGGAGGTTTAAGTGATGATACACTTGAGTTTTTGCATTATAATTAAATAGTGGACTGATCATTTTTAATCATTTTGGTACCATTCGATAGAGAATTGAATACGCTATAAGATGAAAAATAAATCAAGATTGAAATATTTTAATTGAAAAAGTTATAAACGGAAAACTGGCACATGCCTGATCAAAAGGATCATTTTTGGTCAAAAGGACCAGCTGTTTCCTGATATTTTTCATTTATAGATTTCTTCATTAAATTTTTTAAAATTTTCATTTGATAACTGATTCAATTCTCTATCAAATGATACCAAAAGAAATTTTAAAGATGCCCTCAATCTAGAGTTATAATGCATGGACTCAACTGAACATATACCTTTAAATAAACTTTAAAATGAACGTTATTTTTAATTTTTTCTTCTCAAGGTCATTAAAATTCAAATAGAAACGTTATTTTGCTCTTTTAAGCATCTCAAATTCAAAGAGGAACCTTATTTTTATTGAAAAAATAATGTGCCGGAATGGGCGTATTATTAAAAGAAAATTTTGTATTGTGTGGTCTATGATCACAAAACAATGAGGAGGAGGTTCTGCTACATAAGGAAGAAAATTTCAATTTAAGATGTGTCAGTTAAAAAATTCTTTGAAATTCAAAAAAATTATTCTGGGGAATAAATTCATTAAAAAACAAAATTCCTAAAGTTTCAACCATATAAAAAATGTTGAACAATCCTAAAACACGTCCAGCTTTATTATATTTATTGCTTTTATTGGGAGAAGCAAGTTGCAATTATTTTGAATCAGAATTAAGCCTAGCTAATGACAAAACTTGTAAAATTATTTCTAAAATATTTTTAAAAATTTATAAATATTTCTAGCTATAGTTCGCAAATGTTGCCCTAAAGAGCGAATTAGACATCATCGGAGACCTTTGTATTGCTGCCAGGATGGGTTATTCCGTGATGAAGAAGATGGTTATTTATTAAAAGAATGCGCAGATCAGGGTGTTTCGAGTGTAATTATTTTAGAATTATTTTTAAAATTAATTTTGTCCTTAAAGGATTCCATAGTCAAAATAATCAGATGTGCTCAACAAGAAATACACGGTGAAAAGGCTGTGGAGATTTGCAGTAAGCTTTAACATTTTAAAAAAATTTTAACAGCCAGTCCAATAAAATGCCCCTTATTTACTCAAATTTGGATTATGAACCCTCTAGATTGGATTATCAAGCAAAATAAATTTTTACACCTTTGAGGATTAAATGGACAAGCGACCTTTCTTTAATCTCAATACCACACCCAATCCCTCTCTTCAATATAAGCTTAATCGCTCGATATCTCCCTCAATCCGACTCCTAAATCTCTCTTTCAATCCAACTGCCTCAATCTAACTCCAACTCCCTCAATCTATCTAAATCCTTTTTTATTTGTTAAATTTGTATTATAATTGAATGTCAAAAATTTATTCTGAAAATAAAATTTACTTTATTTTTAGAAGCCTATTGCTGTGAATTATTCAGAGATAGTCATTGCTCCAAAATATGCTTAACAAATATTACCAAAGTAAACATGTCTATTGAAATATTATTTGAGCTGTTGAAAAAATGCAGGAATCATGAGAATTATGGGGTGAAAAATTTTTTTTTAATTTTTAAAATTAATTTCTAAAGGAAGTCCATGACTGTATCCATTCAAAAAGACCTAAGGACATGGATGCCGCAGAGTTGGAAATTTATTGTAAAAAGGCTATTAATATGGTGTAAATTTGGAATTTATTTTTTAATTTAACTATTTTACTCGATCTCTATTTGTTTAATTATTAATTTATTTTTGGCAATAAAATTAAATAAAATTAAGAAAAACAAATTTTCAAGGGAAAAAATTAATTTTCTCAATGAATAATTTATTAGGCAATAAAATTAACTGTCCTTCTTGATTTTGTTGTAATTCTGCTATGGGTATATGCCAAAGTCCAGATTCTTGGCAATGCTCGTTTTCGGTATATTTTTGCCTTTGTGATTGGTTTTCTTGGAAAATTTTGGATTTGAAAATTTTTTAATTGTATAAATTTTTTTACCTTTCTGTTTCCGCCTCATTTGATATGCTGATAATGAACCTATATTTGAAGCATTGTATTTCAAATTTTCATAATTCTCCATGAACGGGTCGACACGGTCATAAGGATTTTTTCCGAACATTAGGCGGACCTTCAAAGATTTTATAAAAATTTTCTAAAATTTTTTTTTTAATTTTAAGTACCCCCAATTGTCTTATTTCATCAGTTATTTCCCTGCTATCTCCATTCAGAGGCAAGGGAAAATTATCTGGATTGGATTGATAGGCTTGCTTTAAAAGTATGCCAACAAGTCGAGCACGAGACTTTAAAAATAATAATTTTTAAAAATTAAAAAAATCCTTACGTTTTCTGAGATCCCGTGTTTGCTCAAAATTATTTTTAATAGTCTTAAATCTTTTCTAGACAAATATTGTTGTAATGAATTTGCTTCCTTAATTAAAAAAATTAAATACAGCTCCGTAAAACATGCGAATTTTCATGTAGTTAGAAAAGCTCCTTTCTGAAGGCATAAAAGGTTACGGTAATTCTCTCCCTCATTTTTGTCATTAAGGATAATTTAATGATAAGATAGGGTTCCATTAATGATAGTAACTAATAAATTAATAAAATTGTATGTTCAATCAAGAAATATTTTAGTCACGAAAGAACCCAAGCGATGCTTTCAACTACGGTTTCAAGTATCATAAAATTGAACTATGAACGGACTAGATCGTTAAACCCTAATTTCCGTAACAAATGGCCAAAAATAGTAAATTTACATATATTCCCTACCAAATGCCCATTAAATTGTAAAAGTACAGGCACTTCAAATTCCACTAGCTTAGGCATAGTAAAACCATTACTTTTGCGTCCTTCAAAATTCCCAAGAAAATTCTTTTCCGGAGTTGACCGGATCGGAACAAGTTCTTTTTCTTCTTCAGCTAATTCACCCATAAAATTTTCTAATCGGCGCATTTTTTCGTTAAAATTTAAATTTTTATTATAAAAAATCCTCCAGACTTTTCTCTGCTCAGATAGAGGTAATTGCCGGAATGGGGAAGGAATTGGCAGTTTTTTAATTAAAGTATCGGGTAATTCCATGAATAAATTATTTATTAATTTTAATTTTTCCTGAAACAGAAGGGAATTATTAAAATTATTTTTGGCATTTTACGATAGTTCCAAGTGTTGGGTCCATATAAATTGAACTAAACTGAACGAAAATATGATGAGGAAGAAGTTCCTTGTACTCCTTGGAAGAGTTATAATTTTAATTTTGTTATGAGAATTTATTTGATTCAAATGGCACCTACTGTCCTGGGACATTCTGACCTCCCCATTCTCGCTAGGAATTTTAATTAAAAATTTGTACGGTCTTCAAACCTTCTAAAAATGATTTTTCCCCGTTTGGCCAAACTTACACCCTACTTCTCTTTATTTATCCAAGTTATCCTCTTTTTTAAATTTAATGCTTTGTCCGCTTCTACCTCCCTGGCCTAAAAGAAATTTTCCCTCCCTGACCCAATGGTACATTGAAAAGAAATTTTTTATTTATCAAGCTTAATAAAAATATCTGAAAACCTGCAAAATATATGGACGTTGTTTTCTGACATTTTTAGCATTTAAATTAGTTAAAATAATAAACAATAGGAATAAAACAAAAAAGAATTTATTGGTTAACATAAAATAATTGAGGATTAATAAAATTAAAGAAAAATATTTGCTTAGTCGAGACTAGGATTTTTGAGGGTTAAAATAAATTATTGCGCGGATCAAAAATCAATTGTGAGAGACAAAAAGAGACTATAAAATATTGATAAAAAATTTAATTTTAAATAGACAAATATTGTTGCAATGAATTTGCTTCCTTAATTAGAAATACATAATTAAATACAGCTTAGTAAAACATACGAATTTTCCTGTAGTTAGCAGAGCTCCTTTCTGAAGGCATAAAGGTTACGGTAATTCTCTCCCTCATTTTTAAAATTAAGGATAACTTCATGATAAAGAGTATCAATATCAATATTTTTTATTTTTTCAAATTTTTGCAAAAAACAAACATACAAATATTTAAGTAAACCAAGTCACTTTTCACATGTTACTTTTCTCTGGGGAATAAGCTAAAAAGGAGCTAGCTAAAAGAAGGGGGTTTTGCGTGAAACCTAGACATTGGATTTATTTGGAACATTAAGGAAAAAACAAAATTTTTTTTAATATTTTTGTGGTTGTTTTTTTTTTGAAAATATTCGAATTTGAAGGTGTTTTGAAAAATTTTCTTCAATTTTTAGGTATTTTTAATTTTAATTCTATGAGAAAGGGAAGGCTTTGTTTTAGCCTAAACTCTTTTTAAAAACATTTTAAACAAATCCCCCCTTTGGGAAAAAGTTCAAAAATAACTTTATCAAAAACCTAGCGCTTTGAAGATTTTAAAAAGTACTTAATACTTCCGTTATTATTATTACACTTAAAAAAGGGCTAAAAATTGTTGCTAAATTTACTAATATTTTTTATTTAATCGATTCCTCTAAAAATTATTAACCTTTAAAATGATATCACCTTTTATTAATCAATCTTTCAAAAATGCTTCATTACAAAACCGGTAGGAAATTTTAAAGAAAAAATTTTGACAATTATTATCAACCGGTATAGGTGTCAGTTATTCATACACGAGCTGAGCGTCATGGCGTTCGGCGTCTGGCGTTTTGCTTTTGGCGTGTTTTAAAAATTTGAAAAATTAGCGTTGATATTGGCGCACAGCCCTGATTCATACCCGATGGCAAATATTCTTCCAGGGAATTTTTTAACCACTTTCTGAACAATCAGACCTTGCTATATTGTCTCTGTTCTAGTATCTCACCCTCCCTTTTACGTCAAATTTTTCTTGGAAATTTTTGGTTCACTTCGTCTAATTATTAGCAACCGGTAAAGGTATCACTGTACATCATTCTCGATTTAATTTAAGATTTCTAGCGCCCTAAAGCTATAATTATTGTAAAGTCCGTGACACTATAGAGAGGTCAGAATGTTTAACAATCTCTCAATAATCTCTCCAAATCTCTCAATAATCAGGCAAATTTTGGCCAGTAATTTTTCTGAGTTGCCTTAACGCCTCTTTAAATTTATTTGTCACCCAACTTAATAAATCAAAAATTTAAGTCTATAGGGAGTAGATTGATACACCTACCTAGTTAATAACTCAAAAATTTCTGTTCTTTCTCAAATTCCTTTTTTTTATTTTCTCCCAAAAATTTTTTTGCAAGAAATTGGAAGCTTCCGTTTTTAGTTAAATTTAACAACAAAAAAAGATGGGGCTTGCCAAATGCCAAAAAGCACCAAAAAGCAAAAGGGAGAAGATTTTTGTTTGGATATATAGGATTGAAAAAATAAAAAAAATAAAAAAGCAACTATCGAAAAAGCAGTTCTTTCCCTTCCAAAAAAAATTTTTTTTGCCCAATTTGTTGTCTTTCAATACAAAAATATACCCTCCTAAAAATATGTACAATTAATTAAAGTGGATTTAAAATAAAAAAATTATTCCAAAAAATAATTAGACAAGTACATTTTTAAATTTAATAAAAAATAAATTGGTAGGTGGATAAGTGCCCTTATTTAATTTTTTAAACAATGGGGGAGGGAAATTATTTTTATTTTTTAATTATTTTTTAATTGTCCTTCAATAGCCTTAGTCTCTCAAATTATTGTTAAAATTATTTTTAAAATCTTCAAAAAATCTCCCAACATTTTTTATAAACCATAAGACTTCAAAAATTATAAAAAAAATCCAAAAAATCCCCAAAATCCCCAATATCCAAAAAATCCCCCAAAAATGCCACAACCCCCAAAAATGCCACAACCCCCAAAAATCCCAAAACCTTCAAAAATTCCCCATTTCTTCACCAGGCAATCCTTCCGCCGCTCTGGAATGTTTTTTCATTCGCCATTGCAAAAACCAGTCCAACCGCGAAGGCGTTCAACACTTGGACAGGTGTTAAAAAATAAAAGTAATTTAATACGTTTTTTGATTTTTAGCCAGATGTTGCTGTTGAGGCAGCTCTTAGACAGCAACTGGCTGAAGTATTTTCACCTCAATCTTTGCTTAAAGTGGAGGTTAAATTTTGAAAAAAATATTTTTGGAATTTTTTGAGAATTAATTTTTGGCGTTCTATTAATTTTTAAAAAATCCTTGGCGTTCTGTCTTAAAAAAATTTTTTGGCGTTCTGTCGATTTTTAAATTTTTTTTCACTATTTTTGGCATTCTGTCTGTTTTCCCGAATTTTACCCATTTTGAAGGTTTTGGAACCTGAAGATGGTCAATCCAACGAATCTACCCCTCTCCTTCTACAAATGGAGGAACAGGATACCCAAAATAATAACCTCCCTCAACAACAACAAATCCCCCCTTCAATCCTCGTTTCCTCCTCCTCAATGGAAAAAAGTATTTCCTCACAAGAATTGGCAGGAATGGCAAATTTAGCTAATAATAATAATTTAAATATAAATAAAAAACATCGTACAAGCAACAGTAAAGTATTCCCGAATACAGCAACATCTACACAAACTGTTAGAACTATAGTGCTTAGGAGGCCTACAATTACAATACAGGAGGATGGGCGTATTCTGATTGGTATGTATATTAATTGAATAATCAGAATTATGAATAATTTGTGCTTCTGGGGGTTTTCCGGAATTATTCAATGAATTCTAGTTCAAGTTTATTTTCGTGGAGGATATAAAGTAAAATAATATAAATAAAAATTCTGATAAATTAAATTCTGAAAATTAAATTCTGGAAATAATTCTGATACTTAAATTCTGATATTTAAATTCTGATAATAATTCGGATAAATTAATTATTCTGAAAATAATTCTGATACTTAAATTCTTTTAATAATTCTGATAAATTAAATATTCTGAAAAAATATTCTGAAAATAATTCTGCTACTTTAAAATTCTGGTTTTAGTTTAACTTGCTTAATAAATACTTAATAATGCTACTTGCGTACACTTAAAAAGCTCATAACTTTTTTTAAAACTGCTTTAAAATTTTAATTTTTGTTTCTATAGATAGCCCATATTCTTGGCTATAAATTACTTAAATAATTTAATTTTTATTTAGAATATTTTTAATTTTGCATATTTTTAAATTACAAAGGCCAGCCTATTTTTATCTCTTATCCTTTCTTGAGGTATAAAAAATATTTTTAAAATCCAAAAAAATTTTTTCCTTTACGTTACTTAAAAAGGAAAGCATATAAACACAAAAATCACTTTTTATTTTCACTCTATGCATTTTTGAACAAAAAATAAAAAATAAAAAAGCATTCCTCTTTAAGACTGCCCCTTCAAGGTTCAAATTTCTTCAATCTCTCAAAAAATTAAAAAAATAATTTTTTTTTCTAAAAATAAATTTTTAGTCTTTCCAAAGGTATTTTACAAATTTGAGAGAATATTTTTCTTCATTCTCCCAATTTTTCGTTTATTTTTAAAAGGCTTAAAGCTAATCCCCCTCAAAATTTGCCTAACACTTAATTCTGTCTAATAAACATGTCATCGACAATGAAAGGTTTTTTATTTGTTTTTTATTTTAAATTTATTTTTGGAGTGCCAGATGTGATATTGATTCAAAAAAAATTTTTTTAGAACAAATTATAATTTTTTAATTTAATTTTTATTCTAATTATAGCCCTAAAATGGCTTCTTTATTTAATTGTTTCTTTATTTGTTCCCTAATCATTATTTATTTTAATTCAATTTTATCCCTAAAATATATTTTAATATTATTCTTTTTTTCTTCTTTTATTTCCTGAATTTAATTAAATATTTCTAAAGAATTTTTAAAAAATTGCTAATTTTAAACAATCACAATTCGTCATTTAAAATAATTTGTAATCTTAAAATAATTGTGACAAAATTTAACCAAAAATATTTGGTTTCAAGAAATTTTACATATAATTTATAATAAAAATTTTTATACAATAAAGTGCTAAGACAAGCTGCATAACTCTATAAATTCAAAATAAAATTTTTGAAATTATTTATTGACTGACCATTATTTAGGCTTTATTATCTTCATATTAATCTGTTCATAAATCTCTATTAGGAACATTAATAAATTTTGTAATTTTTTTATTCTTAAATTTTTATTTAATGCATATTTATTTTGAATCAATTAAATTATTAAATGCATAAAAGGCCAAAAGAAGGGTTACCCGAAGTGTTAACGCCCCGGAAAGAAGGTCTGTCTACTTGTGTTCGTCGGAGACGCAACTTTGACCCGATCTGGAACTGAAACTTCTGGCTTAACACTACTGTCTACCTATATCCCCATATATCCTTATAAGGAAATCAGCAACTACAATAAAAAATATTTTTCGCCTCTTTAACTAGCAAAAGTATTTTTAGTTGAATTCAAGAGTTTATACATATATAAAAAGCAATTTTTTAAAATTAAAAAATTGGCAAAAACTCCAACAGCGCATTTTTCAAATGCGTATTTTATAGGCACAGAGGGAAAAAGTTTTATTTAAAAGAGTGAAGCATTTACTGAATTGAAAAATAAATTTTTTGGACACAATTGTTTGCAAATTGGTGTAAATAAAAAATTGAGTTTATTTGCACTGAAAAAAGGCTTTTTAAACTTGAAAAAGTCAAAAATCAATTTTTGAAAATTAATTGATTTTTTGAAATTTCAGAAAAAATTTTTGAAAATTTTCTGGAAATTTTTTTGAAAATTTTTGAAAAATTTTTAGAAAATTTTGAAATTATTTTTCGAATTTTAAAAATTTATTTTTCCAGTTTTAATGCTTTATTCCATAATTACCTACCTAAATACCCTACAATAATTCCAAGAAAAAATGGAAAAATCAGAAAAACTGGATAAACCTTTAATTGACATTAATAATAATAATAAAAATCCAAATCCACGCAAAATATCACGAACTCAACAAAAGCCTATTTTCCATACTCAGTTAAGCGATCAACAAAATGGTACTCAAATTTTTTCAATTTTATTAACCCTTCTGACCCGCTTTAGTTTTTACTCACCTTTTCACGAATAACAGAGTTCCTTAAAAACATTCCTTAATCGTTCCTCAAAGAAATTCCTCCAGACTCCAATCGTTCCTCCAAACGATCCTTAATCGTTCCTCCAAAAAATTATTATCCTATACCCCAACTTTAGGGAGTTAGAGGAGATGGAAGGGGCATTTGGGAGATCTCATTATCTTTTAGTATACCTCCCCTCTAAGGTAGGAATTGGAAGGTGTATTTGATTGAGAGTTTCCAGTGAGTAGTCCCCTCAGTTAAAGCCAACCACCAGTTCCTCCACAAAATTTTTTTTCAAAAAATAATTCAGCAACAACAAATTCACCTAATGAATATCCATACAATCATCTATATAATCACAATAGAAGAAAATCATCTTATGCCGGCTGGCAACAACAACAACAACAGCCAACATCCTCAACTCAAATACTTAAACAAACCCCTATAAATATTAGTTTACACCCTTTCTGGCCTTTTATGCATTTTAGAGGTTTTTTGGAATTTTTAAAGAGGTATTTGGTATTTGTAGAAAAATTTATTGACGGATATCCGCGGATTTGAGTCGTCATATCCGTAACTATTCGTATCCGTCCTATTTTTAAAAAAACATCCATATCTATCCGTATCAGCGTATATTTGATAGAAAGTCCCGGGGGATCAAGGGTGGAATCCCCTCCTTGAAAGTCGGAGGTATTCCATAAGCAGGCTTGTTTTTGCCATTGAAAGATGATTTTGTATTAAAATGATTTTTTATGTTTTTTAATTATTTTTTCTTTCTATTTTTTTATTTTTTATTCAGGAATTTAAAAAAACCTTTTTTAAGTTCCTAAGATAATTTTATGACTAGTCATACGGAAATCTTTATAAATTCTTTAAATTCTGTACTATGTATAATTCTAGAGTTATGCAGCTTAACTAAAAATACACTTTAATTAACCTTTACCAAAAATAAAATTTATAAAAGATTAATTCAAGTATAAGGAATTTAGAAATGACTAAAATGAGTATTTAACGGGTTAAAAATGAGTTAAAAATGCCAAAAATATTTTTTTTAATAAAAAATGAATATCAGAACCATCCAAAAACTTTCAAAAATAAACAATAAACAAATAAACACAATTTCTATAAAAATTGATAATAATTTGATAAAAAATGATAAAAAATATTCAATTATTCCAGACAATATAACGGCACGTTGGGAAGGGTTTCCAATGCCTAAACAACAAAATTTGTTGGATGGAGACGATGTTGGGACCTTGTTAACCTCTCAACTTGAAGGAGATGAGGAGGGGAAAGCACCGTTAACTTGCACTCAAAAGATTATTAAGGTGAGGTACAAATAGAAATTGAAAGTTTATCTTATTCAGTTAAATAATACATATAATAAACTTAAGAAAATTTCAGAAATTTTCAAAAAAAACAAAAGAATTTTTACAAAAATATTTAAACTTTCAGGAAATGTCTGAAAAAATTTTTAAAATTTTTTTGAAATTCCTAAAATTTCGGGAGATTTGTAGAAAAAATTTTTCAAAAATTTTTTAGAGACTTAGAGACTTTAGAGACTATCGAACTATTCCAAAAATAATCTAAAAATTATTAAACTTAAGTACATCAAAATCCTCGTGCCACACATTGTACTAGTTGCTGTCCTTATTGGATATCTCTGCCTAGGGGCAAGTATACTTCAGGCTTTGGAAACTCGAACAGAATTGGTGGCTCGTTCGCGCAAGCTTGTTCGGCTTAATAATATGATAGAGAACTTTACTATAGAAAGCTGGAAAATTGTTAGAAAATTTTTGAAAAATTAAAAAATTTTTTTCTTCTAAAAATTAGTTCGGAAGCAACAAGACAATAAATAATCCAGAAAATTGGGCTATTGTATTTCGCGATTATATGGTTAAAGTGGCACAAGAAGTGGATGAGAGGCAAGAAACTTGTTTCAATAACCCTCTAAAATCCTCTAAAAACCCTTAAAAATTTTTTTAGGAGGCCAATTCAACAAGAACTTTTAGCCCCCGAACGCCTTGATAATATCCACAATAAATGGACGTTTCCTACAGCTTGTCTGTTTTTTAAGTTTATAATTTTTTAAATTGTTATTTTTAGTGCTTTATGTATTAACTGTGTTAACAACTTGTGGTAGGTTTAACTGATTATTATAGCTCAAAAAACCCTCAAATCCTCAAATATCTCCACAAATCCCTCGATATCCCTTCTTCGAACATTTTTTAATTAAAATTTTTTAACCCGAGTCCCGAACCGAACTCTGCCCCGATACGAACCCTGCCCCGAACCCTGCCCCGATTCGGTAACCATGTACCCGACACACCCAACGACCTACATACAAATTAACAAGATCTTATTTTACATATTTTTAAAGGTTATTCTGAAGTTTCCGTGAATACAGATGTTGGAAAAATATTTTCTGTTATATTTGCACTAGTTGGTATTCCTCTCATGTTTATAACTGCAGCAGATATTGGAAAATTTCTTTCTGATACTTTGTTAAGGATTATAGCTGAATGGAAGTTGATGACTAGAAGAGTCAAAGTAACCCGAAAAAATTTTATAATTCAAAAAAATTTTTTTTAATTCAAGCGGATAGCTTATGATTTGTTTTATGCTCAGAAAAGTGGAAAGCTTAGGCGGAAGTCTCTACAATCCATTAGTGTGTCGCTTGGAGCTCTTGAATTGGCTGATATTGGCTGTTAACTAATCTTATTTTTATTAAAAAATTTTTTTATTTTTTAGCAAAGGACGATACAAATTTGTGGTTTCCTATAGGTCCTAGAACCCCTTAGAATTTATTTTAAAAAAATATTTAAAGGTGCCTATGTTCTATGTATTTGTGTTTATTGCTCATTCGGCTCAATTATGTTTATGAATTGGGAGGAAAAATGGTCTTTCATTCATTCTTTCCATTTTGGATTTAATCTGATTGTTACTGTTGGGTCTGTTTTGGATATTAAAATTAGAGATCGGATACAGACGGGATCACGAATTAAAATTTTGATACTTGAGATATCTCGTACATCATATAACTCATTCCTATGTGAATGTACACCTATCGGCCAGGAGCCTTTATGTACAGTTCTTGATGCTCTTTCTAAATAGCTATTGTTCATCTTGATCGGATTTAAATTCATCGAGCCAGGCCATTCTGAATTTCCAAGTACAAAAAACCCTGAGGTATTAGGGTATCGTTGGCTATCTTATTAATCCCTCTCCCAGATTCTTGATATCTCCCTGATGATAAATTAAATATTTTAAATTTTTTGATATTCTCGTCCGACCGTCCCAGTCCGATTTCTAATTAAAATAATAATTAAATATCCGAAAAATTATTTTTACAGACTTGGAGATATTGTAGTTACCGACTACTTATTTCTTTCATTAATTGTAGCCTTTGTTATTGTTGGTCTGTTCAAACAAATTTTAAATTAATTATTACTCAATTTTAATAATTTATAGGTCTAGCCGTTGTAACTATGTGTGTTGATTTGGTAAAAATATTTGAAAAAATAGTAAAATTATTTTTTAAAAATTAAAAAGGCCTCAACCCATTTAAAAAATTATTTTGCAAAAATTCATTATTTTGGACGAGCAAAAAGATTTTTGGGGATGAGTGAGGAATTGAGGGAAATTGTTACTTTATTGGGGGTGTTAAAAAGGAAAAAGCATGGAAAGGTTTTAAAATTTCAATTTCCAAAAGACAATTTAATTTTTTGAAGATAACTTTGGACGATGTCTGCAATTTTTTGGAAAATGAGCTTTATAATAGAGCTTATGAACCACACGAATTATTAAGAAAGGTAAAGATGGTTTTTTAAACCTCCTACTTTCGGACCGGGATTTAAAAATGTCATGTTAAAGTGTCGATCTTTGAGACATCCAATATTTCAGGCCGCGACATTTATCTGACATTTAGAACCCCGACACTTATATAATCATCCAACAATGGGGGAAGATATTAGGGGGGTAATATCCAAGAACCCTACACATTAGCACACTAATGTGTGACCATGATATTTGACCTATAAAAACCAGTAGCTCCACTTTAGCCCTAGAGTCGCCTTAAAAAATGAATAATAATATATTTTTAATCCAGTTGCGGTTCATCGACGAAAACACCCTAAGTTCAACACTTTCTACAATGAGACATAACAGTTTTCAGTCAGATTTTTTAAGAGATGCTGAATATTTAAGGAGGCTGAGGGCTTTAAGGCCAGATCAACCTGTGTTTCTTTAATATATAAAATTATTTTTTTTGTAAATCTTTTTCATAAAATTGATAAAATTATGTACCTGAAATTTTTTTTACCAACAAGTTATAAAACAATTTTTAAACAAAATAAAATACTTTTAATTTGCTCCTTTTTTGGAACAAAACCCAAAAACATTTTTGTTCCAGAATTTGCTCCTTTTTTGGAACAAAACCCAAAATTGAACAAGGATTGCCAATCCTTGTTATAATATACAATTATTTTCAAGTTTCTATAAAGTTTTTGAAAATGTAGCTGAACCACCTTGCAACTTGTACTCTATTGACCGAATTTAAACGAAATTTTTAAAAAGTTGGAACCATGGAAAATCGTTATTTATGGATAAATAATTTTGGGTTATTTTTTTTTGACTGAAATTTTCAAAGTGGATTTGCCCAATGAAGTAATCATCGCGAATTGGGTTACGATATACCATTCGAATCTCCATTAAATATAGTATCTAATATACCAAGAAGAAATATACTCTATTAATATACAGTAAGTTATTTATGGATTAATAATTTTGGGTTATTTTTTTTGACTGATATTTTCAAAGTGGATTTGCCCAATGAAGTAATCATCGCGAATTGGGTTACGATATACTATTCGAATCTCCATTAAATATAGTATCTAATATACCAAGACGAACTATACCCTATTAATATACAGTAAGTTATTTATGGATTAATAATTTTGGGTTATTTTTTTTGACTGATATTTTCAAAGTGGATTTGCCCAATGAAGTAATCATCGCGAATTGGGTTACGATATACTATTCGAATCTCCATTAAATATAGTATCTAATATACCAAGACGAACTATACCCTATTAATATACAGTAAGTTATTTATGGATTAATAATTTTGGGTTATTTTTTTTGACTGATATTTTCAAAGTGGATTTGCCCAATGAAGTAATCATCGCGAATTGGGTTACGATATACTATTCGAATCTCCATTAAATATAGTATCTAATATACCAAGACGAACTATACCCTATTAATATACAGTAAGTTATTTATGGATTAATAATTTTGGGTTATTTTTTTTGACTGATATTTTCAAAGTGGATTTGCCCAATGAAGTAATCATCGCGAATTGGGTTACGATATACTATTCGAATCTCCATTAAATATAGTATCTAATATACCAAGACGAACTATACCCTATTAATATACAGTAAGTTATTTATGGATTAATAATTTTGGGTTATTTTTTTGACTGATATTTTCAAAGTGGATTTGCCCAATGAAGTAATCATCGCGAATTGGGTTACGATATACTATTCGAATCTCCATTAAATATAGTATCTAATATACCAAGACGAACTATACCCTATTAATATACAGTAAGTTATTTATGGATTAATAATTTTTGGGTTATTTTTTTGACTGATATTTTCAAAGTGGATTTGCCCAATGAAGTAATCATCGCGAATTGGGTTACGATATACCATTCGAATCTCCATTAAATATAGTATCTAATATACCAAGACGAAAATACGCTATTAATATACAGTAAGTTATTTATAGATTAATAATTTTGGGTTATTTTTTTGACTGATATTTTCAAAGTGGATTTTCCCAATGAAGTAATCATCGCGAATTGGGTTACGATATACTATTCGAATCTCCATTAAATATAGTATCTAATATACCAAGACGAACTATACCCTATTAATATACAGTAAGTTATTTATGGATTAATAATTTTTGGGTTATTTTTTTGACTGATATTTTCAAAGTGGATTTGCCCAATGAAGTAATCATCGCGAATTGGGTTACGATATACCATTCGAATCTCCATTAAATATAGTATCTAATATACAAGACGAAAATACCCTATTAATATACAGTAAGTTATTTATGGATTAATAATTTTGGGTTATTTTTTTGACTGATATTTTCAAAGTGGATTTTCCCAATGAAGTAATCATCGCGAATTGGGTTACGATATACTATTCGAATCTCCATTAAATATAGTATCTAATATACCAAGACGAACTATACCCTATTAATATACAGTAAGTTATTTATGGATATTATTTTGGGTTATTTTTTTTGACTGATATTTTCAAAGTGGATTTGCCCAATGAAGTAATCATCGCGAATTGGGTTACGATATACCATTCGAATCTCCATTAAATATAGTATCTAATATACCAAGACGAAAATACCCTATTAATATACAGTAAGTTATTTATGGATTAATAATTTTGGGTTATTTTTTTGACTGATATTTTCAAAGTGGATTTTCCCAATGAAGTAATCATCGCGAATTGGGTTACGATATAGAATTCGAATCTCCATTAAATATAGTATCTAATATACCAAGACGAAAATACCCTATTAATATACAGTAAGTTATTTATGGATTAATAATTTTTGGGTTATTTTTTTGACTGATATTTTCAAAGTGGATTTGCCCAATGAAGTAATCATCGCGAATTGGGTTACGATATACCATTCGAATCTCCATTAAATATAGTATCTAATATACCAAGACGAAAATACCCTATTAATATACAGTAAGTTATTTATGGATTAATAATTTTGGGTTATTTTTTTGACTGATATTTTCAAAGTGGATTTTCCCAATGAAGTAATCATCGCGAATTGGGTTACGATATAGAATTCGAATCTCCATTAAATATAGTATCTAATATACCAAGACGAACTATACCCTATTAATATACAGTAAGTTATTTATGGATATTATTTTGGGTTATTTTTTTGACTGATATTTTCAAAGTGGATTTGCCCAATGAAGTAATCATCGCGAATTGGGTTACGATATACCATTCGTATCTCCATTAAATATAGTATCTAATATACCAAGACGAACTATACCCTATTAATATACAGTAAGTTATTTATGGATTAATAATTTTGGGTTATTTTTTTTGACTGATATTTTCAAAGTGGATTTGCCCAATGAAGTAATCATCGCGAATTGGGTTACGATATACTATTCGAATCTCCATTAAATATAGTATCTAATATACCAAGACGAACTATACATTATTAATATACAGTAAGTTATTTATGGATTAATAATTTTGGGTTTTTTTTTTAACTGATATTTTCAAGGTGGATTTGCCCAATGAAGTAATCATCGCGAATTGGGTTACGATATACTATTCGAATCTCCATTAAATATAGTATCTAATATACCAAGACGAACTATACCCTATTAATATACAGTAAGTTATTTATGGATTAATAATTTTGGGTTATTTTTTTTGACTGATATTTTCAAAGTGGATTTGCCCGATGAAGTAATCATCGCGAATTGGGTTACGATATACCATTCGAATCTCCATTAAATATAGTATCTAATATACCAAGAAGAACTATACCCTATTAATATACAGTAAGTTATTTATGGATTAATAATTTTGGGTTATTTTTTTTGACTGATATTTTCAAAGTGGATTTGCCCAATGAAGTAATCATCGCGAATTGGGTTACGATATACCATTCGAATCTCCATTAAATATAGTATCTAATATACCAAGACGAACTATACCCTATTAATATACAGTAAGTTATTTATGGATATTATTTTGGGTTATTTTTTTGACTGATATTTTCAAAGTGGATTTGCCCAATGAAGTAATCATCGCGAATTGGGTTACGATATACCATTCGAATCTCCATTAAATATAGTATCTAATATACCAAGACGAACTATACCCTATTAATATACAGTAAGTTATTTATGGATTAATAATTTTGGGTTATTTTTTTTGACTGATATTTTCAAAGTGGATTTGCCCAATGAAGTAATCATCGCGAATTGGGTTACGATATACTATTCGAATCTCCATTAAATATAGTATCTAATATACCAAGACGAACTATACATTATTAATATACAGTAAGTTATTTATGGATTAATAATTTTGGGTTTTTTTTTTAACTGATATTTTCAAGGTGGATTTGCCCAATGAAGTAATCATCGCGAATTGGGTTACGATATACTATTCGAATCTCCATTAAATATAGTATCTAATATACCAAGACGAACTATACCCTATTAATATACAGTAAGTTATTTATGGATTAATATTTTTGGGTTATTTTTTGACTGATATTTTCAATGTGGATTTGCCCGATGAAGTAATCATCGCGAATTGGGTTACGATATACCATTCGAATCTCCATTAAATATAGTATCTAATATACCAAGACGAACTATACCCTATTAATATACAGTAAGTTATTTATGGATTAATATTTTTGGGTTATTTTTTTTTGACTGATATTTTCAATGTGGATTTGCCCGATGAAGTAATCATCGCGAATTAGTTTACGATATACCATTCGAATCTCCATTAAATATAGTATCTAATATACCAAGACGAACTATACCCTATTAATATACAGTAAGTTATTTATGGATTAATATTTTTGGGTTTTTTTTTATCGATATTTTCAAAGTGGATTTGCCCGATGAAGTAATCATCGCGAATTGGGTTACGATATACCATTCGAATCTCCATTAAATATAGTATCTAATATACCAAGACGAACTATACCCTATTAATATACAGTAAGTTATTTATGGATTAATATTTTTGGGTTTTTTTTTTTGACCGATATATTCAAAGTGGATTTGCCCGATGAAGTAATCATCGCGAATTGGGTTACGATATACCATTCGAATCTCCATTAAATATAGTATCTAATACAGTGTGTTAAAAAATTATAACCCCCCTTGAATTTTTTGTGTTTCTCTATTTTCCCGTTGGTGGATTGTTCTGAAATTTTTGCAGTAGTGTTGTAATGTATATTAAATGATATTTACAAAATATCTTTAAAAATTTCTTATCTAAAACTTTTTTATGGACGTTTTTGCAAAAAATTAGTGTTAATAAATTATAACCCCCCTTTATTAAAATTTTTGTTTTACGGTCAAAAAATCCACAAAAATTTTTCTGAACATATCTACCAATATAGATGAGAAATACAAAAGAAATGAAGTTC